TGCGCACTCATTACAAAACTCCAGAGTACCCACAATTGTTGGAGGGGGGGGACGAAAGGGGTGAGAAGGGAAGGTGGAGGGGAGGGGGTGGAAGGAATATAGGTTAATCAAATTATATTTTTCATTGCAAATCATCTTGATTAGAGAGAAAAACTCTTATTTTGGAGAGTTTTTGCACAAACTGCACATATGTTGCCACCATTCTGTTAGGAGTCATGAACCAGCACAACATTTACACATATGTGCAAGTTCACGTATCCTGTGTGGGTTCAACAAGTTATTTTAAACTTTTTTTCCCCCCCTCCTCAGTATGAATCCAATCAAACTCTTGGAATATTTAGAAGCACTTCCTCATGATTTGTTTGTTTTGGCACTGAAATGTGTTAAGTAGATGGCAAAACAACACTTTAAAGTGCAAATAACCCTTAATAAAGGAGGATGGGCTGATTTATTGGGTGTCAGTACAAATAAATAATAATAATAAAAACATCTCAAGGCACACTGGTGATATCCTAATTTAATTTTGAAATAAAAAAGATGAATAAAAGCGGGTGTAGAAGGTTTAAAGCGGCTTCCAAAGTAGCGCAACTATTAGGTGGCAGTGCGTAATGTAGGCCGGAGCCCCACAGGATGGGCCTCGCTTTAATCGTGATTTCTGAGAAGGGGCAGAGGAGAAACAGGGTGGGCTTACTTGTCTGGAATGGGACTTTGGTTCTGGGGGCTTGAAGAAGGAGTCTGGCAGCTTCCTCATCCTCATGGGCACCGAGGGGGGCACGATGGTGTTTTTCGGGTTCATCACGGCGTTAAAAAGCGCCTCCAGGTCAGTCTCCGAGTCGCCCCGTACATGGACGATCTGGTGTCCGGCAGGAGGGTTGTGCTGGCTCGGATCCATATTCCCACTACAGCCTGCGAACTTTTTCTGTGTCCGAAAATGTTGCGTTCAGAAACTCACACACACGCAACAGAAAAAAAAAATTAACTGGAGCCAATCCCCAACTTTTTTTTTTCTTTTTACGCAGCAGGAAATCTGGAAACCTCGACGACACTCAGCAAAAGTTTTCCAGAGTCATTTCAAAGTTCACCAAGCCGAGTGGTTTACTTTCTTCCACGGTGTGTTAGCTGTCGAAATCTGCAGTGAAACACAGCGTTTTCCTGTTGTTTTCTGCTGGCATACTTGTGAATGTAACAAAGCGCATATCCACTCCACACTGGAATCTATGTTGTCGTTCGGCCCCAACTTTTCCCCCCCAACAAAAAAAGGAAAGAAAAAAAAAAAAACGCAGAGGCAGCCAGCAAATGACGGGAAAAACAAAAGTCCAACTTGTCCAAATTGAATCTGCTGTGAGTTTTTTTTTTCTTTCTAAGGAAAAGTCATAGTTAGAAGTACAAATCTCCGCAGCTCACTTTCTGGAGGAGGAAAAAAAAAAAAGTTTTGCTGCAGTCGGCTCTAAACTTCGGGCAGGACATCAAACTTTATGACTCATGGGATGTCTGCTCCAGAGGCGGAGCTTGGCTTTAATTGGGACAAGAGTCTTTAAAGGTACAGTCGGTGCAGGCCCGGGACCCGGGGCTTTATTTATGTCCATATTTACACCAAAACAAGCACCGAAAATGGATTAAACGCGCACCAAAATACCTCAGGAAGCTTTAAAACCTTTTTATCTCAATTTCCAGTCTCCTGAAAATCTTTATTTTTGCTCATTTAGGCAGCTGATCAATCATCCATACACATTAATTAGATAATCTGGCCAATAATTGTTGCAAATTCAGTATTTAATTCATTGGCAACCACATATTTGCTTAACAGGAAGTTTAACCCTAAACTTTTGCATGCCACTGCACAAAGTTCAATCAGGCATTGGCAGCTTTAAAACAAGATATAAATAAGGCCATAACATGTGAAAAGTAACTGAGGCGGGGTGTGGAAAAGTCACAAGTTTAACATAAAATCGTACCAACACAGTTCCAGTTAATGCGGGAAACAAAACGCTGAATGCAAGAAAAAATAAAGCAAGTACGTGACTTGTAGAGCTTCGATCAAAGCTCATAAAAGTGCACGTGTACGGTGGAAAACTACCAAACAGAAATCTGCCCAAACTAAACTGAAAGTAGCTTCAGTGATTGCTTCATAGTTTTGTTGTTAATATGTGCAAGTTTATGCACGCTGGGTAATTTAGAGGATCATTAAAATGCTGCCATTAAATAGCATTTAGAGCACAGTGCATGTTTTCTCAGCGCACATAGGCGACACATTATGGATGATAAGGCGACATACATTTTCCCAAGGATCCAAACAATAATTCAAAAGCACCTTCTCTCTCTCTCTCTCTCTCTCTCTCTCTCTTTTATTTTTTTTTTTTTACAGTGCTCATGAAAAGTAGACCCATGCAGTTCCCACAATTGTTATGCTAATGAGGCCCCTCTTCCATTGAGAAATCATTTTGTCAAGATCCACCCTCTTTGGATACAGAGGCTGTGTTTCAGCTTTTCCCATACATCCACTGAATGAATGATTATGAAGCCCTATTAAATATCCGCAGACACTGTAAAGGCTCAGATTAAAGCGCTTCCCTCTGCTAGTCACATATACGTGCTCCTACACAGATGCACAAGTTTGTTCATTTTTACCGTTTTTCATTTATATTTCTGCTGCAACTTGTAAAACTTGTGAGATGAGCAGGCCTACAGCAGCATGCAGCAGATTGTAGGCCTTTAATAACACAACTTTATAGTATTTATTTGATTATTTCACCTGTTGCTATGCATGAGTGTAACATGCTGCTCCTGTAGAAATTTAGACTCATCCTGTTATTTCCGATGCACCTATTCAAGGATTAATCCGAGCCAGCTTGAGAACTTTTGAAGGCCCATAAAATGCTTAATGATTGTGCTACAAGCAGCACATATTCCTTTGAATGAATGAAACATTCTGTCCACACATGCTGCCAGTCAAGAAATGTCCATTGTCTGGGTGAAAGTGGTCATTTTCACATCATTGTAACGCACTCAGACACATTAAAGAGATGGACTGCAGTGTCCCAGCAGCCCTGAGGGGACCACCCACTTAGCAGGAGTTTGGTCACTTCTGGTCAACATCTCTCCTGTGCCTCTGAAAGAGTCTCATTCTCACTGAGGCTTGTAGGATATCAGTAGGAACGATTTTTTTTTCCCGGGGCTCTATTTACCGGAATCAATCTCAAGTCCGGAAAGGCAGGGCAGCTGTATCAGTCCACTTTGTTTAAAACGCTCCCGTCTGGTGTTATTATCGGATATAGTGACGCACGGTGTTGCTACAGACAGATGGGCAGATGGGCGCTCGGCTGCCCCCTACAGTGTTCAGTGTGTGCATACAGTCTGTGGGTGCAGAGCCCAATACACAAACTCATGCAGTGTATGTCTGCTCCTCCTTTCCTCTCTGTCTTCTGTTTGCATTGCCTTTAAATGAATCAATCCATATAGAACACAATGGAAATAAGTTATTTTACTCCGTTTTCTAGTTTATGCATAAACCCTGTTTTTCTTTCACCCATTTTCTGTTGAGCCCATGTTTGAATTCTATGCATTTTTGCAATGTGCATATTGTTTTAAGACAAAACTAACTACTGTAAAAGTTAATATATTGCCTTTCCATGCAATAGTTCCAGATCTGACACGCATTCGCTGCATGCTCAATGGGCTGCAACAAAACAAGACAAAATACTCCCGAGATTAAGCTTCAAAACAGACCAAAAGCACAAGCTCCAACTTGCGTCTGTGGAAATCTCTCCCCCCTATTTTCAGCACTCTTGCCCTTTCTTGTTGAGTTTCTGGGTGTTGTGCCGGTTACGGCTTAAATGTCATTACGCTCACTATTGTGTTGTATAATGATGCTGAGCATTGATGGTAGCAGGCCAAAGGCAACAGATTTCAGGGCAAACCTGCAGTGGAGTATTATGAGCCAGTCAATGCTGTTTAAAGATCTGCACAGAGCAAAACATGCTGTAGTGTTGTATTTATCTGTGTGTGTACAGATGCTGAAAATGAAAAGGATGCTATGAAAGTCACTTGGTGTAAACAAAGTTGATGAGGAGGTTTGGTCATTTGGTTAAAGCAGTTAGATCTACTAGACAAACACTATTTAACATATGCAGATAAAGTGTTTCTCTCTAATCACCTCATGTCCACTAGTTAAAGGTAGCACTGATGTCTCAAATAACCACAACAGAGAAGAAAACCTCCCGGCACACAACTTGTCAAAGCTGCTGCAGGCATCGTCATACACCAAAGCTGAACATATTCTCCGTCTTTGTGTCAGTTTTGGTGTAAGATAACAAGGAGGTGATGCATGGCTCTACGTGGCACCGCCGTCCTGTCACATCATTGTTTATAGCTTCTTGTTGAAGCAGTCGAGAAACCTGCAGTTAAACCAGAAAGAAAAAAAAGTTTCATCACTGTTCAAATGAGCTTGGGCTTCCTCCATCTTTTGGAGCAAGTCCTAGCAGGCCGGCCGAGGGGCAAAACCAGACACGCCGGTGAAGGAGGGGCGACTGAACTCACATCAATAATCCCTACGGCTTTTTTCCCCCCTCATGCACCTATTGTTTGGCAAAGAAGAGAGAGAAGCTTTTAATTAATAACACATAAAACTGCATTTGCTGACAGTAAAATTAAATAAATACTGCCTTTTGTCAATTGATGCTGCTGTAATTTCAGGGTATTATTAATTGAACCAGGACTTAAAGCAAAAGTAAAGTTCAGGTTAGATGCAATCGCAACAAAAGACTCTGGAAGCCCTCTGGCAGAGACTCAGCTTGCCGAGCCAGTAGGTTGAGTCTCGAAGACATAATCATGTGTTCTACTGCCCTGAAAGAAAGACAAACACACCTTCAGCGTTGCAACACTTCTCTTTGGAAACCATTTCCGAGCCTCATTGACTGTACCGTGCAGGGCTGACAAAAAAAATGACAATACTGACGAACACAGTGAACCCAGTCAGTTTATCAGTGTGTTGACAACAAGCTTTATTCAGTCCAATATGATCACAAAACAGTGTTATTAAATTATAGCTTTACTTAATAAATTAAAACCAGAATAGGGCAGCCTTGAAAAATACATATTAATCAACAGTTTGTGTATTTTGCAGTCAGTGCTGGTCATGTGTCAATTGTGAGACGGATATAAGTGCGTTTGTAAAATCAAAACATATTGAAGCCAGTGTTGCTCTCATAGGCACTTAGAGTTTGATTGCCTGATGGCTTAACAACAATTAAATAAATTCTTTGTGGCAATATGTCCAAACAGAAGGTGAAAATACAAAACTGACTCAACATTCAGTTTGGTTGAATTCTGCATTTGTTTTTTTTGTCCCTGCTTATCCTTTAGATCTCTAAGTTGTAGGCACATTTTGTTAAAATGCATTTTGCTGGGTAATAAAGTGCTTTGTTGAACAGTACGTTGCAGGACAGTATGCATTGGGATCAGTGGAAACTACACAACCACACGAGCTTTACGTCAGAATTTCTTCTGGTATCGAGAGCGGCTGTTGGCTGACGATGCACGGCGCTTGTAATGGCTTATGACTCTCGCTTCTCTTGTCTGAAAACAGAAGCAGAAAGTAAGGAATGAAAGATTTCCAAAAACACCTTTTGTGTTAAGGAAAGCAAAAACCTCTTAGGAATACTTACATAGGGTGCATCGATAAGCACAAGACCGTGCGTGCCAGCATTACCCCCAACGTGTTCCTGTACACCTACAAACAATGAGAAGGAGTGGTGATCCTGCATTGAAATTACGTAACAAATAGCACAATTCAATTAGTCACTTTTTGCAAACGGTCTTTGCAGAGTGCTCACAGTGCAGCTGGTGGTTGAGTCTGTCCAGAGAAAGGAGGATTTTCTTCTCCTCCAAGGAAATGGTGGTGAGCCCCTGCTGTTGGCTGTGCTGCTGCACTGTTCCAGACCTCTGTGTTTGGGCTGTCTCCATGGCAGCCGCGATATCCCTGTCTTCCAGCAGGCCTTCAGCGTGCGCTTCAGCCAGGTGTAACTGGGCTGCACTCTCAAAACCTGAGAGAACATGCAAAATTACATTGAAGGCATGCACTCTCACCTGTTGGCGCGTTCATTTTGGAGTTCTATATAATGCGTAGCACAGCTGTTCTGAGCTACTTCTACATTCCTGTGGTTCAGCTATACATTATGTAATATATATATATATATATATATATATATACAGGGAAGAAATTCAAGGTTTGTTTTAATGATGGCTAAAATCTAAACACAGATTGTGCGCAATACCTTCGTTTGGAAAGGCCGTGTTGTGAGTAATTGAAAACGGTCTGACCAGCTCTGCAGTCTGTTTTGTTTGCTGCACAAAGCAAAACAAACAGTTAAAACCATTTTACATTGACCTTACATAATATTAATGCAGCCTATAGCACACTGCTGAAATGCCAGGTGACAGGCATGACGCACGGCAACAGAGCAACTTGCAAAAAAAAAAGAAAATCGTTTGGAAAAAACTGCCAACTCAAGTCCATCCAGAATGTCTTGTCTTGAGAGCACAACCTGCCAAATCTAATCAGCTCAACCAACACTATGGGCAGCACGGAGCCGAGCGTCAAACCGATTCTACAAGTTTAAACACACCCATTTACTATTCTTTAGAAGCTGTTACTTATTCTTCCTTCCCACAGGGCAACCGCACGACTACAAGCAGGTACCTGAGAGCTGTGAAGAAGTCTTCTGTTCCCCGAGCCAGCAGGCTGTCGGCTCTGCTCAACGCAGTGTTTCCGTAAAACTTGCCCACTCTCCGGGGCATGTCTTCTCAGTAAGGTTTTTGCTGAAAGAAGATGCATTCACTGCAATTGTAACTAACGCAAAAGTGAGACAGCACACAGATGAGACACCACCTCAGATAATTGCAGGGTGATTGTTATTGCTGTTCTGCGTCTTGTTAGCAAAGCAAAATTGATTGTTTGGCCGATATTGTGCAGCTACACCTGGATCTGTTCACCCACGTTGTTTTAAACAGTAATGAGAGAATATATGCAGCTGCACTAATGAAGCAATTACATCCTTTAGGATTCTTTGATGTAATGGAAAACAGGGGTTTAGTTTGATGTCTTCAGTAGAAAGAGCTGATGATTGGTGGCAATATGGGAGACAACAGACCATTATGAAGCAGTGATTCTTAAAGGTAAACTAAGTCTGCTCTTCCAGATGTTGTTATCTCAAGATTATGCTGTCCTTTAAATATTAAAACACGAGTTACCTGATCTATATGTCAGTCAGTCTATGGGTCGGTTTAAGTACATTAGAAACATGTAAGCAGCGGTTAGCACTATATAAATAGTTAACACCTGCAGATCTTATTCAGCTCATACAATACACTACAAACAGCATTCAGGTAATTCACTGCATGTTTCCATTAGTGTGACTGTATGTGAAGACAATTACAGGTAAACTAACAGGCTCAAATAATACCTGAGACTGTTTTTGTGTTAAAAAATAAGGCATAAAAAAGCAACCCTATGCAGTACTGTTCTGGTTTTCACATTGTTAAATAAATAAAGTTTGATAGCAAAAGGTGAGAGACAGATAAGCCTGAGAGAAACTTCCTGTTAATCTAAATGACATCTCTGCAGGCCTACGACCAAGCCTTAAGCTGTGTGAGGTGCCGTCAGCCAAACTATACGTTACCATCCTTGGTGGTTAAGGCACTGCGGACACCGTGCCAGAGCTGTGAAATCTCCTCATCTGTCGGGGTGCAATCTAAACAGATGCTTTTTTCATTGTACGTCATCCCTCTTCTTCTGCTGTAGCCGTGAGTTTCCTGGTGACCTGAGTTGGACGCGCTCTTTGCGTTGACCTCTGAGAAGGGGCAAGTGTACGAGGGTGGCAGAGGTGTGTACATAACAGCGCTATCTGTTGTGATTACATGATGTGCGTTAGGCGAGAAGAAGCCCTCAGAGTTGCTCTTGTGCAGGGCTTGCTCTACGGCCAGGGCCTGTTTATAGTTGACGCCGGCCAGATCCAGGCCATATGGAGTCTTGGTGATGTACGCCGTCTTGTCTTCCACTGATTCTATCCGAGGAGGTGGGCGGGGCGCCATAATCTTCCCTTGGGTTTTGGCAATCTGACTCACCTCAGTGGCAGATTGAGGTCGTATGACAGTGCCCTTTCTTGTTCTTGAGGAAACAGGACCCGCTCCGGCTCTGGCAGAGCGCTCTCTCCGAGGGACCTTGGGGCCACCGGTCCTGGTGCTGCTCCGCGGCACCTTGACCTCATCTGCTCGTTGCTGGGGCACGCTGACATGAACCCCAACATCTGCCCATGCTTCTTTTGTAAAGTGATAACCCGTGGAGGCTGCAGGGGTCATGCTGGGTCCTGGCTTGGGAGTCCCTGAGACTGCAGCGTGACTTAGCTGGTGGTCCTCGGAGTTGTTTTTGGATTGAGAAAGACTGGAAGACTTCATCTGTTTCATTACATTCTGTTCTTTGGCCTCTTTTTCCACATGCACCTCGTCAAACCAGCGAAGTTTCTTTTTGACAGCGCCGCCGCTGCCTGCCACATCCTTAGTTTTTGCCCTCGTTAACTCAACACTATCTCTGATTGATAAAGCTACTTCTTTTGCAAAAATCAAACGTCCTGAGCCGTACACACACGTAGCATTTCCCGACACGTATTTCGACTGCTTTTTAAGGATTCCTTTAATAAATCTGACTTCACATACTGAATGAGATGACGCTATTGGAACAGGCAGTTTGGGTAATTCTTCCTCAGGACATTCAAGACACTTAGGTGTGTCTGACTGAATATTAGACGGGCATACGTGTTGCAGCACTGCTGTATTTACGGACTTCTCGGTTTTGGGCTCTGAGTTTGAAATCTTATTGAGATTGTTAATGATTGCATAGGGTTCTTTCTGGGGTGACAGATGGTGGTTTTCTTTTCCTGTTTGCTGAAAAGTTCCTTCTTTCGACAAATTATCTGTTGTTTTATCGTTTAAGAAAATACCTGGCTTTGGGCAAGCCCCAAACAAAACGTCTTTGCTGTTGCCATTTTTGGCAGGCAAAGGAATTTCTGTAGCTGATGGATATTTTAATTGTCTGTCATCGTGGATTCTCTGCTGTCTGAGATCTAACAGAGCCTCTTGTTTAGGATATGAAGACTCTGTGTTGCCAAGAGCAACTCTATTTGTAACGGCGGTGTTGTCGCTGGGACTGTTTTGTGTGGAGTTCACCTCAAAGTGCTCTGGATCGCCACTGATAATTTCACAAAGAGTCAATAAGTTGCTGTTGTGCAAAGCGGGCTGGGTCTCTGTTTTTGTCGTTTGCTCGACGGACGTGAAACCCCAAGAAGCTTTAGAAATGTGAATCTTATCATTGGGCCATTCAGAGTCCACTTGCTTTTTCTGCTTCGGTTCGTGCAGCTTTCCTGATTGGACTAAGCTATCACCAAGAAGCATCATCGCTGAAAAAGAAGTCAAGTCTGACGCTGGGCACAAATCCTGCTGGTTTCTCACGTCAGGGTGGGCCTTCTGTGAGTCAAGCAAGAACGACGAATAGGAACTCTGTAGATCTTTTGCACTGTGGTTGGGGTCCTCATTCTCCAAACTGTCCTTACTTGAAAGGCTCTCAGAGTTACAGCAGTCAGACAGGTGGCTGTTCTGAAACATGGAAGCAAAAAACAATGTATAGTTTACAGTTGTCTAAATACGTAGGCATGGAACACAGATCTAAAGTGAGAAAGAAATACAAAGTGGTCTGCTCAACTCTCCTAAAGTTCTTCTCTGGTGATGCTGGTGAGGTACATCTTAAATTCAAGGCTGAGATTACATTTCTCATTTTTCCTCACCACCAATCTCACAGAGTAAAAATAGTTTTGCAGGTTTCAGGAATTATTTGTCAGTGTTGACAGGAACTTTTTGTGTTTTATGGCTCTTGCATTTCAATCCAAGTCCAATGCAATCTTTTCTTTTTTTTTATTGATGGTGAGCATGGGCTGCAAGGTGTCTCAGTGGTTAGCACCGTTGTCTCACAGCAAGAAGGTCACCGGTGAGGACACCCGGGATCTTTCTGCGTGGAGTTTGTATGTTCTCCCCGTGCAGCGTGGGTTCTCTCCAGGTTCCTCCCACAAGGTCCAAAAACATGTTGGTGATTCTAAATTGTCTATAGGTGTGAATATAAGTGTGCTTGGTTGTCTGTCTCTAAGTGTAGCCCTGTGATAGACTGGTGACCTGTCCAGTAGTGAGGATTAAGCGGGGTATAGATAATGGATGGATGGTGAGCAAAGGTAAACTATGGAATATTTAGGCAACATTATAGTACCTAAAATATAAAAGCAATGAAGTGATTATGTAAGGGTTTTGTACGACCAGTCTTTAGACTCTGATCTGCTTTTCTCCACGACATCCCACTTCACTTCCTTGTGTCAGTTTAACCAGGTGTAAAGGGTGCACTTTACGCAATCATTTATTGTCTGGACTGTAAAATATCTGAGGTGCAAATGCTCCTCTTACTAACATAACAAGCAACTCATAGTCAATGATAAGGATGCACACATGCTTACAGTCAGCAGCACGTATCTGTGAACAAGTTTTGGTGAGAATTTCTTTGTTCTAGAAATCGTGCTGAATCAGTATGTTTGTAAGGAAGTCGGGTGTGAGTGGATTGTTACACTTCCAATAAGAAATGAGATATTTCATGAAGACATCAATACTTTTTTGCAAGTTTAGAGATTTGTTAAAACAGCTATCAGATCAAATTAATAGCAAATTATCTGTTATATAAAACAAATATTACAAAGACTTTAGAGTGACAAATGTCACTAGAGGGTGCTGTAGCTCACAGCAGCAAACTGAGGTGTTACTGGAGCAGGAGTGGGTTCATGTCACACTGCTGCCACCTAGGGTCATTTTGTTGAGAATGAGATGGATGTATCTGAACTGCTCAGCATCATAATTTAAGACAAATCACAAATTCACTCACTGAATCTTTCTATCAACATATTTTAATCCTGTTTTTTTAGATTTGTAATTCACATATTGAAGTGTGGTCTGAATCAGAATATCGTTCTGTGGTGAGAATGCGTGGCGTAATTTCACATCTTTTTATCAAAATGTGAAGAAAATTTAAAAAAAACAAGATGGACAGAGTGTTATTTAAATGTTAGGTATGGAGGGATATGACAATGATTTATTTACGCAGAAATACTGTTAGCTGAAACCAAGACAGCTGGTTTATGCAACGCTCTGCATCATTTACACGACTGACATTTGTCCCCATAATTTTAAAGTTTTGATTAGCTGGTCAGAGCAAAAGAAGAATCCCTTATTACAGATTGTATTTCAAATAGTACAAATATATGGAAAGCTAATCAAGTCAGAAACAAGAGAGTAATTACTGTGACAGGCTGCAGACTGACAGACACAACTGGATGAACACAACAATTATGCTTGCTTGAAATTTGAAACGACAGAAAATGAAGTGTCAGGCCAGGACTTTGTTTCATCCACTCCCTCAGGCTGCTTTCTCATTTACTTTAGCTCTAATAAACTCATGTTAAGATAGGAACTGGCAGGCCTCTGCTTCCTGGAAAACTCTGCTCTCGTCCTTAGCAGCTTTTGGACAATTTCTATGTTTTCAAACTTTGTAAAGATGGTATCAAATACATAACATCAGCAATAATAAAGGGCTGATTGATACATTAGACGGTCTTTTAGACAACTGTCGGTACACTGACAGACAGAATTAGTGCATTCTATGTTTGTGAGAGAGACAAAACAGCAATGCAACTAAGGATAATTAACATTTTAAATAACAATTCAAGTAAAACAATACCCCCTGACCAAGTTCTGTTTCTTGCACATTGCAGTGAAATAATAAAAATACCTGTGGACTGTGATCTTGATGCTTCTCTGCTCTGCTCTGTTCCTGAAGCAGTTTCGTGTAGGCCTCCACAGCAGAAAGTGCCTGGCGGTGGGAGGATTTAGACGCTGTGGGAGGCTTAGGAGAGGGCGTGCAGCTTCTTGAGGAGAGAGCAGAAAAATACAAACAACATGTGCGACTCCTCCAGCCAGTATAAAAAGCTACACCAAACTTATATAATTGTTAATCTGTCTTTTTTTTTACCTGCTAATGTTAGTGTTGCTGGACAAGAAAGAGGACTGCCGGGTGTACGAACTCAAGGCGTCTTGAATTTGATTGAGTGCATCTTCAATATTTGTGACGTTTCTTCTAAAAGCTATCACACCATGAAGAAGAACAGACAAGCAGGAAAGTGTCAGGACTGTTTGTAGGTTGTTTTTTTTCAGTTCTAAGCAGTAATATGCTTTACTAACATTGTCTCCGTCTCTGAGAAGGAGGTAGATGGGCTCTTTGGAAACGCTCAGTTGCATCCTGAACTTGCTGTCTGCGCTGCTGGAGGATGTTCTCCCTCAGCCGTTGCTCCTGCATGTCCCACTGCTTCCGTCTTTCATCCAAAGCCCTGAGACATGAAAAAGAGTAGAGCATGAACCTTGGGCACATTTTATCTGATTAAATCTCGTCCGGCCGTGTTTTTGATACAGAAACCTGAGTCCATTCCTCGAGATATGTTTTCAACATAGTCATTAATAAATTAAAGCCACCAGTCACTTCTGGGTTCACTAAGAAAGACAGTAATGACACCAACAAAGTCAATGAAGTTCGTTATTATTGGGTTTTTTGGGTGATAAATGTTAATCAATATCAAAATGCAAAGCTAAACAGTGTTGAGAACCAGAACACATCAGTAGCTCAGGCTTCAGGTGACACATTTCTGTTCTGCTAAAAAAATAAACAGAATCAATATTACCTTATATGCATATATGCATTATCTGTTATTGTTATTTATAAATACATCTAACAGGAGCTGCAACGTAGAAACTCTGTATTACATCTGAGACCAAACAGGCAAATACAATCATGCATAAAGAAGTTGTGGTTCAGACTTTAAATCTTGCATTTCTTCTCACTATTTAGATATTGTAAAAAAATAAAAATCAAAAGTGTTTCTGTCTGTACTATGGCAGCACTTTGCTTACCAGCATGGAAGTGGAGATATAGATTTGTAAACCCTGATTTTACAGAATGTTAACATAAAATGGATTGGCTTATCCACCACCTTTTTAAAAAAAAAAAAACGTTTTGTTTTCTCCTTAAATAGACGTCTTCCTAAGCCACATTACATTTAGGAAATAATGACCACCTCTCCAGGTAAAACACAAATCTGGCTCTAATATTACACACCTGACCTCACAGCTACAGCTTTTCTTGCATTAGCCTTTCCAAGCTCTGGGTTTAAAAACACGACCTCTCGCTTTTAGCCTCTGCTGATAACTATGGAAACACACATTTAGAAGGGTATTAATATCTGCACGGGGATGAACCTGGCAGCTTTAGCCATCGGAGAAGTGACCCTTCAGTCACCGCTCTGGGCCGGCGGATCTATTTTCAGGTCTAGACAGCAAAATCCTGTCAACGCCATCCATCCCTGAAAGGTGCTAAGCCCAGGACAGAACCCTGAGCTGTCAGTCCAGGAGGTGTACACCAGCAAAAACAACATCCACTTCCAAGAAACGTGGAAGATGCTGCTTATCTGTTGCGAATAAACAATGGACGGACAGGTTGGGGTTGCAGAAATAAGAAAGGAAGACATTTTACCTACCATTCTTCATGTGCAATGTTGTATTATATGTGCAATATTTCACTTTCATGCACGACGGGTCAATGCAATGTGCAATATTTCATTTTTCATTTGCAAGATGTGAAATTTCACCTGTAATATTTCATGGTCATGTCTGATTGGTACTTCAGAATCGTTGCCAGCATTACGTCTGACTTCTCTGTTCTGTCTTATGTTAGCATACTTATTGTATTTACAGTGATGCATCATATATCTTACTGTTTTCCTACTAGGCACTGCAGTTACTTTGTTTTCTGAGCAACACCTTGCAAAAGAATTTCCTCTGGGGGTTATTAAAGTTTTGATCTTATCTTGTCTTATTCCTGTAAGTAGTACAATAAAACCAGTGCATAATTCTTGGAAAGCTGACCTCCTGCGTCGGTTGGTTTCCAGGGAAAATTTGCGAGCTCGGGCTTTGCATAACTTCTGCTCTTCAGCCAAAAGTTGTCTCTCCTTTTCAAGGCCTCCATCATCTCCCAACCTCGAATTTCTGGAGGTAAACAGCTAAAGAGAGCTTTTAAATGGAAGTCAGTGGATATATGTCACCTAAATGTAACTTTCCACTCAAGTTAATGAAAGGTTGAGTTCTCATGAATTATACAGCCTGATTAAATAATACTAGGGTTTCTGTCATGAGGGATTTCCATCTCAACCTTATCAACATTGGTGTAGCACAGTTGTAGAAACACATTTTACGACTTTAAAAGACCAATAACTAAAACACGTGAAGGATACAGCTGGTAGAAGATGTTGTCCTGAAGACTTTGCATCCTCCCAGGCTGTGGTTGCTCGCAGACATACAGGTTGAGCTCCGAGCAAAGCTGCTAGCTGCTAACTTGTCCTCTTTAGCTAGCGGCGCTAAAGTCAACTCATTCAGCCGTTTTCAGGGCGAAGACAAGCCGGCAAAGGAAATGTTCGACACGACATCGCAGCAGCTTCTCCCCAACAGCTTCTTTAAGTCGTTTAAAAGCATAAGAAAAAGTCTCCGAATAAAGTTGCTCCGTGTAGCCGCCTCAGTCTGTGTACAGTCCGTCCATGATAGCAACCGAGGACGCAGTTCCTTGACAACCGGGGAGAGGCGGTTGTTCCCGCCGCGTCCGGCAGAGGGCGCCGCGCTCAATGGGATAACGCCGTGCTCCCTTCAGGGACAGCTGGGAGTGTCGTAATATATGCATTCTTAAACAAAGTGTACATGAAAAACATGTTGAAAACAAACACCTAACTAAACTGAAGCGAAAATGAAAGCAAATTACGTGTTGAAGAAGCTCTAAAGAACAAGGAGCAGATACGACGAGTAATATAATTAACTCGAGACCATGTATGATACAGTTTAATTTTGCAATTAAGGTAAAGTTCAGAAAAAGGTTGCGTATTTGAAAGCACCTCAACAATAAACAGTTCACAGTTAGACTCTGAGGCAGTTGAGAATCAAAGTCATGAAAAATGCATTAATTTTAACATTTTGTATGGCGAACTTGATTTATGGAGTTTAAAGGGGTCTTTTAAAATGACATGCAATGAGATAAAATATGTTCTAAATATAATATTCAATTTACATACTTAATTAAAGTTTAAAAAAAATAATAGAAAGATTTAAATTAAATATTGAAGACACACCTTAAACCTATTTCCAAGCATCTGCCTCGTGCATATAATGAATTTCCATAGACTGTACTGAGGACTGTCTACATCTTCATTTTCAACAGTTTGGATCCTGATCATAGTTTGTTTTTCCATAGCTGACACACAAAATCTAAGGATGCATTTGTATCCTGATGGAACAGTGCGTTAAGAGGATTTGGAAAAATGTGCTTTTTCCCTGATTGTTTATGATGTCATATGGACAGGATGCTGCTGCATAATCTGTCTTCACTGTGTTATACCATATAGTGGTGGGGCTATTGCTTGCAGCCTGCACTCTCATAATTACAAATTGTTTGCAAGAACCTTCTGTCCTCATTTATGCCACAACCAATAAAGGATTTAAACACAGCTTTGCTTCAATGTGTTGCTTTTTTATCTTATCAGCACAGTTGTAAATTAAGGAAATGAAACACAATCCTCGTACGAGGAGATAAATGTATATAACGTGTTATAAAACAAACACTAAAGTCTGTAAGGAAACCGCCCAGTGGGCGTGCAAAGGCAGCGCTGTCAGCAACAAGATCCAAGGTGGGACTCTAGTGGGTCTGGCAGGTGGTTCAGAGGCTGACGTGAGGAGGGTGTACATGAGGTGCAGATGGTCGCGTTTGGACTTTATAAAGTAAACGTGAAGTCATTTGAAGGATCAATCTTTTCTGAGGTGAGTGTACCATCTTCTTAGATTTTAATATGTTTGTAAAGCATGAAATGTGTTGTAGATAATACAGTTCTGTGCCTGATTTCCAGAAAAGTATTAATGCTTGAAATTGTTTGAGAAAAATGCAAGTCCATGAGATTCATAAAAGTTCCATATGTGAGATTGATACACTTGATCTGATCCTGCCCTTTTTTAAAAATCAGCTTGCCTCTCATTGCCTCATGCACTGATGTTTTATTCTTTTTTTTAGTCATTCTAAATGTTAATACTACATGCACAGAGCGTATTTGCAGAAGACATAAAGGGTTACATACACGGCATCATTAATGTGGTAATATTATTTCCGGTTTATCATGCCACATAGCATATTTTCTTTCCTTCTGCAACTAGTCACTGACCCACCACCTTCTCTGAGCTGCATCCCAGCTGCCTGTCAGGATGCACAAGTGCAACATAACAAAAATAACAAGGCATTCTCAGAAACCCAGGCAGGTAAACCTCATGGAGCAACCAGCTATGCCAGTTCAAGGACAATAAATCTTAGCAAATGTTGCCTTTCTATGTCATACTCGTGGTTTCATTTCAGTGAGGGATTTTCTCACCTTCCCCAGCTGAACTGCAGGACACCATTCTTAATTTAGTAGTCTCTGCTAACATTGACTAGATGCCAAAAATGAATCATTTGGCACTGCTCAAATTCAGTATACTGCTTTCGCTCATTATATTGCTTAGTGATGTAAAATCATGTTTGCTGTAATTATGACTGAATGAAGGGGTGTTGTCATCATCTTTTATCATCTGCCCCGAAGCAATTAGCTCCAGAGGTAACCATGTTATTCCAATTTAATTATAGGGCATAAAGTTGATTTACTCGTTTGGCCAAGACAGAAGATGTAATTAATATTAAAAATAGTCACTGGTGTAAGGTAGTACTTAGTAGATCTTAGTCGAAAGTATGTGAACGCCACATTCACAAAGTTTTCTATGATTTACCAGTGGCACGGTGTATAATAGTACACATGGCATCTTTGCTCAGTAGTTCAGAAATGTAAAATAAATGTGGTCGGCTATCAGGCAGAGGCTGAGTGGACGGACAGTGTGATGCCATGAAATGAAGGAGAGCAGATGATGACACTGTGGGTGGTGTCACACATGTAGTGTGAGTTATAATTCAGCTGAGACCAACTGTGCATTGCACTTTGTTGTCAGTTCACTGCTTGTGTCACTGCTGTCTCATTCCCAAAGAAAAATAGAAGGAGTTGGTATAATAAATAAACAGACAGACTAATTATTGTATCTGCTTAGCAAGAATTTAGCAGTAAATCCTTCTTACCCTGAAATGGGAGTGGCTTTATTTTTTAGCGTAACAGGAATAGCCTTACAAAGTTACAATCTGTGTTTGTAGTCCTATGACAATGGCATCCTATGACTAAGATATGTTGACTTGTGTTTAGATGGAGGAATAAAGGCAGAGGAATGATGCTACGACATGCTGCAGCCAAACCCCGGAGACAAGCTTTGCGAGGAGCTGGTTATCTGCTTCACGCCCAGTCTTCCTCCTGCCTTTCTCTAACAGAGGAACTGTTTTTAGAAGCTGCAGAATATGGTAACATTCCTGAAGTGAGGCGGATGCTCGAAGAGCTGCCAGGCCTCAATGTCAACTGTGTGAACTACATGGGCCAGAATGCACTGCAGCTGGCAGTTGCCAACGAGCATTTAGAAGTTACAAAGCTTCTACTTCAGAAGAAAGACTTTGCCAGAATAGGAGACGCTCTGCTGTTAGCCATCAGTAAAGGTTACACCCGCATTGTAGAGGCCATACTGAGTCATGAGGCCTTTGCAGACGGTCAGAGGCTGACTAACAGCCCCAGCCAGGCGGAGACACACGATGACTTCTTCTCCTACGATGAGGACGGCACACGTTTCTCTCTCGACATTACTCCCATCATACTGGCCTCCCAGTGCCACGAGTATGAAATAGTGCATATACTGCTTCTGAAGGGGGCCCGTATAGAGCGACCCCATGACTACCTCTGTCAGTGCAGGACCTGCAGCGAGCAGCAGAGGTACGACTCTTTCAGCCATTCACAGTCCCGGATCAATGCATACAAAGGTCTGGCCAGTCCGGCATATCTTTGCCTCTCCAATGAAGACCCAGTAATGGCAGCTCTGGATCTGAGCAATGAACTGGCAGTCCTGGCCAACACTGAAAAGGAGTTCAAGGTATTTAACTTTAAAATGAACTGTTTTTTACAGACAAATATAGCTCTTTATCATGTTATTATAACACTAAGGGGTCATATATGTTGACTTTCATTGTTGCAGAATGACTATAAGAAACTGTCCATGCAGTGTAAAGACTTTGTGGTGGGACTCTTGGATTTGTGTCGAAACACGGAGGAAGTCGAGGCCATTTTAAACGGGGACACTGAATCACGTCAAAGCTCCGAAACCTGCAGCAGACAAAATCTTATCAGGTTAAAATTGGCAATAAAATACGAACTCAAAAAGGTAAGCACACTTTATCTTACTTGTTTTCATCTTCAACTTTAATTGAACATAAAATAAGCCATCTTTTTTCCCCTCTTCCTGTCTGTCTTTTTTTCGCACAAACACATAAACCAAACGCACTTATTTCCAATAAAAAAAAAAAACAGTTTGTGGCACATCCAAACTGCCAACAGCAGCTTCTCTCCATCTGGTACGAGAACTTGTCCGGGCTACGTGAGCAAACCACGGCAGTAAAAATTCTTCTTGTGCTTGGTGTAGCTGTTGGGTTGCCTGTCCTGGCCTGTATTTACTGGATAGCGCCGTCAAGTAAGGTTAGTCACAAAACTGTTAGACTTTGTTCGACTTAATGCGCTCACGGCAACGTTTCAGACACTTTTAACAGAACTAAAGGAACTAATGTTGGGCTCGATGTTGTGGCTCCATGTTTGTTGGGCCAATGCTACAACAATGCTAGCAACTAAAACGCTGTAAGCAGTAATATATGAGAGTTACGACTATAAAACTCTTCCACAGATGTGTTTTTCTTTTTGGTGAATGGCTTGTACAAATATGTAACTCCTAATCATGGTAAAATTATGTTCTCTTTATCGTTCTTCAGTTAGGAAAACTGATGTGTGGACCTTTCCTGAAGTTTGTGGCCCATGCAGCTTCCTTCATGATATTTCTCTGCCTGCTGGTCCTGAACGCAGCAGACCGATTTGGGGGAACATCACTGCTGCCTAACATGACCGCCCACGATTACCCCTCGCAGCTTTTCCGTATGAAGACCACCCCGTTCACCTGGATGGAGATCCTCATCATATCTTGGGTCATAGGTCAAGACAGTACTTTCCCATCCATCCTGTGTTTCCCCGATTCTGGCATGCAAATCACAACCACCTATCAAATCCTTTCCCGCTAACTTAGTATGTCTTACATTATGTGAATCTTTTTTCCCTTTCCCTCATCTTTCTGACCCTCAGTCATGTCTGCTTCTTATGATTCAAGTCAGGCTCCTACATTTACAATTACATCACACTCCTGTGCATGCCGGGCCGAGGATATCACGAGTCATTCAGGAGTTATAAATCCCCAAACATCTATCACGCTAGGAAATTGCCCACATAGATAATTATGTATTCCTACCACATGAACCATAATAAATCAAACTGGTAATGACTTTCCAAAGACAAAAAAGGCAAGGTAACACTTTTTCTTAGCTCTACAGGTAAAACTTTGCAGCCACATTACACAGGCTTTGCCCGTATACAGCCAGAGTAAATGTATTTATCAAGATTGTACATGTTTAAATGATATCAATGCTACAATTATCAACTAAATGTGCGATTTTCTTTTCCGTAACAGGGAAGATCTGGGAGGAATGTAAAGATATCTGGTCGCAGGACTTCAGGGAATACATCTCCGAACCCTGGAACCTTCTTGACTTTAGTATTTTGGCCATTTTTATGACCTCTTTCATTGCCAGACTGATGGCTTTCTGGCATGCATATTCTGCTCAGTGCTATATTGACAAGCACCACACGGACCTGTCCAACATGACTTTGCCCTTCGAGATACAATATTTCCAGCTGGGTACGTGTGGATCAAAGAATTCAGATAATAAAAGCAGCAAATTTCATAATTTGTTTCGCAGAATGAACCTTAAATGTTGTTATTATTAAAAATGGCTAAAATATTAGGCTGCACCAGAGTTACACTTATTGACTGAAAAAACATTAATCGGATAGGTGATTATTTTTTAATGTGAGACCCAGAACCACCAAGCTGTGTAACGTATCCGCACAGCATCTTTTTAACTACTTCACTTTCTGATTAAGTCATTATCAAAAACATTCTTTAAATTAGGAATCCTAGCACAGAGGGACATTTTGCAGCATTAAAAACTGTACTCACAATCAGCTCTTTCTTTATTTTCCAGCTCGAATTCACTGGATGCCCTCCGACCCGCAGCTCATTTCTGAAGGCCTCTATGCGATTGCAGTCGTGCTGAGCTTTTCTCGCATCGCATACATCCTGCCGGCCAACGAGAGCTTTGGACCTTTGCAGATCTCTCTGGGAAGAACAGTAAAAGACATCTTTAAATTCATGGTGGTCTTCGTAACAGTTTTTGTGGCTTTCATGGTGGGAATGTTCAATCTGTACTCGTACTACCTTGGAGCAAAGCACAACGACGCCTTTACAACGTGAGTGTCAACTACAGACTGTTGCAATAACGCAGCTTTTAGGAAAGAGGCTAAATATTTTTACTATTGCGCCTTTGGATACCATCTGTGTTGAATTAATATGATGCAAGACTAACACACTGGGTTGCACGATGCTAATTTAATTCCCATTTCTCCGCTCCTCCAGGCTTGAAGAGAGCTTTAAAACGTTATTTTGGGCCATCTTTGGATTGTCTGAAGTGAAGTCAGTGGTCATTAACATCAACCATAAGTTCATTGAGAATACAGGCTACGTTCTGTATGGAGTGTACAACATCATCATGGTGATTGTCTTGCTAAATATGCTCATTGCAATGTTTAACAGCTCCTTCCAAGAAATTGAGGTACGACTTAAGTTTCTATTTATTTTTCAGTCTTGTATACTATAAATGTATGATAATGAACATTTTTGTATGATAATTGTTTTTGGATTATGTTAACTTAACCAAAAATGGCAGCAGATGTTAAGACTGACTTTTTTTTTTATTCAGACGCCCTCATAACCTTTTCTTCCCTCTCGATGCAGGATGATGCAGATGTTGAGTGGAAATTCGCCAGAGCTAAACTGTGGTTCTCTTACTTCGAGCAAGGTGGCACACTGCCTGTGCCCTTCAATCTCATACCCAGCCCCAAGTCTGTAGCTTCCCTCCTGCTGGGGATAAGGAAATCTCTCTGGGAGGTACCTTCAGGCAAAGAAAATTCAAACGATGAGATGGAGCTTAACAATGTGAGGCAACGACTGCTGAAACAAATTATATTTCAAGCTAGGAAATAACCAAGAATAATTTGGTTGCATATAAAATAATGTTAATGTTTACATGTCTACAAAGCCTCAAGTGTACTTGCATTAACTGTGCTTCTTCTCCTTTTTGCCATTCTTATCTCAGCTGAGGCGACAGGAAGATAAGAGTGGGGAAGGATCTCTTTGTCCAACGCGCCACCAAGTAAAGCAGTTTTCATTTCGAAGTGCTGACTAACCAGATAACAACTGAGCTTTTCAAATAACAACAAACTGTCTTTCTCCAATGCAGTTTTACCCAACATGAAAAATGCAATGCCAGCATCTCATTTTAGTGCCTCATACCTTGAGGATTCATTAAGATACTCAAAGGAAAACTGTTGTAACCAGCCAGAAAATGTGCCAGTCAGAGTCGCGTAGTGTATAATCAAACATGTTCACTGATCAAGTTGGCAGCTGCTCCTCTGTTTCCCGAAGATCTTGTTTTTGTAGAACCCGTTAGCGACTCAAACCGTCCGTTCTTCGTTACAGAAAATAATGACTTGCCTCATCAAAAGATTCATCTTGAAAGCGCAGAGAGATAAAGATAATGACGAAGTGAACGAAGGTGAGTTCAGCAAGTTCTCTGGATGCAGTGCTTTTCATGTGCGGATCAGCAAATTATGAAAAACTCGATTTGCTCCTGCTCACGCACTGTCCCACAGGCGAACTGAAGCAGATCAAGCAGGACATCTCCAGTCTCCGCTATGAGCTGTTGGAAAGGGGGAACCGTGACATGAGGACGCTGGGAGACCTCGTCCGGCAGCTGGGAGAAGACATGCATGTTCAACAGACAGGAGACAAGATGGATGAGCTGGATATATTTTCATAAAACATGGAAATGTTAGAGCTGCATTTACTGGAAACATTGTCATTATTGAGTCATTCAGACAGACTAAATACAAAATAGACATTTTAGACTTACCTGATAACACTAGATATTCTATGTTCATTAAGATTTGTATTTCCTTAAAATTGTCTGCTTTGGCAAATAACCTATCAGATGCTCTTTTCTCATCTGCTTGTATCAGTACAGTTAACCACATGGTGGCACTGATGAATTTATTTTCTTGTTGCTCAGGCTCTGTCACACCACTGACTGCTAACATATGATGCTGCCTGTTGCCAGCTGTTTATTTGGTTTGATTTAGACATCATTTATCCATTTGGAGCAGAAAAAAAAAAACAGAAAGCAGTTCAGACAAAATATAAAAGAATATCTTTGAATATGTTACTGGTAATTTGTAAGTCACCTAAAATGAGAGCTTCTGATGCAGATGAAAAGTTGCTTTTTTACTGTATTGCATCTTTAAAATTAATGAACCAAACTGTGGTTTAGACATCCAAAACAGAACACAGGAGCTCTTTGTTTGATTTCTTATGTTTATTAAAATGTTCATTATCTGGAGTACAGAGGGTTTATGGGTTTTTAAAATCATCGCAGCAGATGCTGCTGTGCTCTCTCGCACATGCTGTGAAGCAAGACAAATGTCTGAGAACAGTCTGACCTGTCATGTAGACAAACAGCTCACCTCCATACAGTCGGGCCAGAGGACTAAAAGCTACCATCAGACTTAAGCTGTCAAGCTCCTGAATAAAGCTGCTTTGAAGCATTTATGTCAAGAAAAATGAAGCCACAGACATGACTGCTACTAAATCATCACAATGGATGAAATTGCCACAAGTCTGTAAAGAAAACATGATGAAACCCAATAAAATGCATTGATGTGTCCGCATTATGTGATTGAAATAGTACCAGAAGATGGCGTCATGTAAAGAACTGAAGGCTGCTGGTTGTCAGCGTGAGCCTCATTCACAGATTAAAGTCTGGTGTGAAAACTAGGCCATTATTGAAGAACACATTATATAGATATGAATGTTTAACTGTTATCTAAGAATTATGTGTGCCACCGTGTGAGAATCCCCTCAGTTGTCAGAAACATGACGCAGGAGATAGGGCCAAGGCCTGTGTGTGCATCATAACTTCATGCATCAGCAACATCCAAACTTGACTGATTACCTTTAATAATAAAAACCCTCTCTGTTATCTAACTTGGATAGCAGAGGGGTGAGTTCGATGAGAACAAATGAAGAATGAGTCACTGACCTTAAGAAGTATAGATGACTACAAAACAGGAGATATCATTAACTTAGTCAAAGTCTCTTCAGGTGCAGTTAACTCGTCTACAATAAAATCCATGCATCCATCCATTATCTATACAACGCTTAATCCTCACTAGGGTCATGGGGGTCTGGAGTCTATCCCAGCCGACTCAGGGTGAAGGCAGGGGACACCCTGGACAGGTCGCCAGTCCATCACAGGGCCACTACAATAAAATCATGATGCATAAATTGATTTTTTTTTTTTTAAAGCAGCACAGAAGAGATGGAAACATAAAAAATGAAAACATATGAAACTGGGTGGTTATATTTTGCAGGAAACAGATCTATCATTAGCAGACTTAACTTAATTAGATTTAAAACCTTCCTGCCAAGTCATTTGGGGGAAAAAAATGCTGTTAAAGGTAACTTGGTGAATGCACTAATGTTGTCTCCTCTTCTAGTGGCACTTCATATTTCCAGTACTTTCTAATTTGGCTAAAAACGTCTCCATCTTGTATTTAATTCATGAACTGTAGGGCGGAGACTAACGGCCCTTGGCATTGTGATCCATTGTCGATTCTCCTCATTGCCAGACTGAACTTTAGGTCTCCTCTGAGTGCACTATAGCTCCATACATAACTTTCAACATGGCTCTGCATTGATTCGTTCCCTGGCATCCTGTGGAGGTTGTTATAATGAGTAATATTGGAAACCTGTGAAAAGAGGACAGAATATTCATTCAACTTTGAAACATGACACCCAGAACCAGAACAAGGACTTTTTCTTGTAAGTGCCAAGTTTATGCCTCGATTTAAAAAATTTTTTGGAGAGATCATAATTACGCTCTCATTAAGATAAAGTTTCTTTTCTGACCAGCTGCAAACAAATTAAGGATTAGACCCCATGTGAAAGAAAGGAGAAGTCACAGCCTGTCTCGACGGGGAGGAGGATTACAGGAAGGTCTCTGAGCCACAACTTATCACACACCTTTCAGCCTCCGGGTGCGCTCCAATCTCTGCGGCGCGCGGTCGAGGCTCAGCAAATGGAGAGTAAAATAAACGGCAAGATGAACACCATCAGCACTTCGATCGCTGATTCTACTGATACACGAATAAGTGACCTGATGGAAGCCGGATACAGTAAGTCTAACGCTAAATTATCCGCGTCCTCGTCTGTGCGTAATTTTGGAAACGCAGGCACAATGATCCACGGGCTAAGTTCAAGCAACGACTGCGCAGTTTTCAAAGACTGCACCGGTCTGGATGCATCACTTCCTCCAAAATATTTTTATGACCGCGGCAATGATTATTTCAAGAGTGACGGCGTCCAGTGGGAAGATTTAGTGAAAGTTCAGAGGGCGAACGTGGCCACATCTGAAAGTTTACCAGGCGCGAGTTTGAGCCTCTCTTCAACAACCGGAGCTTGTAAGTTCATCAAGGATGAAAAGGAGCCGTCTGTGATTATGGATACCCCCTGTCCAAACTTTGATCCCTCGTCTGAGTTATCTGCTCTTGACACCTGCTGCGGCACCGAGAGGAAGCAGCAGCAGCTGGGACTGAGCGAACTGGAGCCCACAAGCTTCACGGCGACCACAGGGCTTCCCAGATCGGGCTTTGAGGGCTCTCCAAACTTTCTTATCGACTTGAACCAGTCAGACCACTTGGTAAACCCAGTAAGGACCGACTCCAGGTGCGCAAAGGCGGTCATCAACTTTGACGGCAACGCGCAGGCACCCGGACAAGTGACCATGTACAAGAGTGAGGTTCAGCGCTGGCACATGCAAACGTCTCCAGCTGAGCCCCAGTACTGGTGCCAGTCAGCAGCCGTGGCCGATGACCCGTTTGCACCCATGAGCTATGATGGGATCCAGAACCAGAGCCTGTCTCAGAGGAGCCTACCAACTTTCTCTGCATTCCCAGGGTAATTACTATTTTCTAAGTATTAACAGAACTTTACAATATTCATCAAAACTGGTGATTTGAATGTCAGTTTGCTACACAGGCCTTCTCATGTGAGTTAGGTCTCCATAAAAATGAACATAAGTTATGATTCGTGTGACAGCCGACTATTAGCCAGGTAATGAGTCAGTCAACAACATTTCTGAGTCTGACATAGTGAACAAAAACCACACACACAAAGCAAACAAACATGCAGACAATAGAGCGTCTCCTCTTCCCACTCATTCATATCAAGGCTGTCATCTGTCTTCCATGAAAACACTGAGCAACAAGTTAATTTTCTATTCAATGAGCAAAGGGGGTACATGTCCAGTGTGTTCCTTCTGTGTAAACACATGGGATGGAACTGTCTGCAAGTGTCAGTGCCAGTGCGGAGAAGTTCACCACATTGCTTGTATTTATGTGTTTCCTCCAGCATGCCACCTCAAAGACAGTGTGTGATCTGTGGCGACGAGGCTTCTGGCTGCCACTATGGAGTCTTAACCTGCGGGAGCTGTAAAGTCTTTTTTAAAAGAGCAGTTGAAGGTGAGTAAGAACTAATTTTCCAGATTATTTCAAGCAGAAGTTTTGGGATGCTTTTTTTTCTTGTGCATGATGAGACAACTATAAAAGGGGAAATCTGAAGTCATTAATTACACCAAACAGCTTAAGTGCTTTGTTTATTATGTTTAGCTTCATTTCAAGAAGTATTTTGGCGTGGGGCAAATAAAGTTGGCTAGTAGTCAGGCAGGTTTGATCACCAAACCTGCCCGACTACTAGCCAACTTTAATTTTCATTCCCATACGTTTTGTTTTCTCCCTGTTTTCTTGTTACCCTTTTCCAATAAAAATGCTGCATAATTCTTACTTGACATCTTTATTTGTTACCTATTTGTTGCTTATGTGCTAACATATTTTATATTTATTTATTGCTCCTCATTGCATTGCCCCTAAAAAACAAACTACAGGACCAATAATACAATTACTAACACACACAAGAATAAAAACATCCTCCTGAATCTTGACTAAAAGAAAACACTAACTGACCTTTGATGGTGGTTGGTTGTTAAAGATTCCTGGCAACAGTATCACATTGACCAGAGCTCACCGTGTTCTTTTTTTTTCTTTTTTTCTTGTTGTTATCTGGCAACGCGAGATATATTAGAGCCACTATGTCTCACCATGGCCATGTCACTCCGTCCTCACAGCCTTGCCTCTATCTAATTTTCTTCTTCAGATCTCTCAGAACGCCGTCTCGGTGTGGAGTGGAGTAGCCATGCTAATAGTCGAGAGCCCTTCAACCCCTTTTTTTCCTCCTCATTATGTGCCCCTCCTGCTCCCTGCGTCTTTGCCAATCAAGTGCTGGTAAAATTGTGTGCATTGTCCGCATCCTTTCACTCAACAGGTCATCACAGCTACCTCTGCGCGGGACGGAACGACTGCATTGTGGACAAGATTCGGAGGAAAAATTGCCCGGCGTGTCGCCTCCGAAAGTGCTACCAAGCGGGAATGATGCTCGGCGGTACCACTCATTTGTTATACAGTGCCAATTAATACACCGATACCATGAGATAATTGTGAAAAAGTGTTTTATGGGAACAAACTGAACCCTTCCTCATCAGATCTTAACCGGGCTTTGCATCTATGTCACAGGCAGGAAGCTGAAGCGTTTCGGGGCCTTGAAAGCCTTGGGTTTGGCCCCGTCCCTGATGTTCCAGTCCCATTTGGCCATGTCCAGCGACAATCAGGCCTTGACCAGCATGGCTTGCATACCAGGCATCCATGAGATTCAGCTCTCCCAACAAATGATCAACATCCTGGAAAACATTGAACCAGAAATCGTGTACTCCGGCTATGACAACTCTCAGCCCGACGTTCCCCATCTTTTGCTCAACAGCCTCAACAGGCTGTGCGAGAAACAGCTGCTCTGGATCGTCAAATGGTCCAAGTCCCTGCCAGGTAACGGGTCTCTGCATCTCAGGGTCACCACGGTTGTTGCCATGGGGACCCACCGGCAGGCCTTAGTGATGGTCTCAGCCTTAAATACTGTATGTAATAGAGGGCTTTGTAATGCCATGAATAATTGATATAAGTGATTCCAAGTGGTCACAGGAAATGGTATAATAAAGACTTTCCAAAAAAATTTAAATGTAATGTTCAAATGTTCTGTAACACAGACTTTTATTTTCTTTCTAAGGGTTTCGTAATCTTCACATCACTGATCAGATGACTCTCATCCAGTACTCGTGGATGAACCTCATGGTGTTCTCACTCGGCTGGCGCTCCTTTCAGAATGTCACCAGTGAATATTTATACTTTGCACCTGATCTGGTCCTCAGCCAGTAAGTTACCGTAATCACACGGGCAATTTAAGCTGGGTTTTGTTTCATGACGAATTATAATTGAGAGTTGTCAAGGCGACTCTAATGCATTTGTTCACAAATCAATGAGTTTGGATGAACAATAGACTGTTGATCGTTCACAAACATAAAACCTTTTTATGGTTTCGTCTGTCAGGGAGCAAATGAGGAGATCTCCGATTTACGACCTCTGCCTGGCCATACAGTTTATTCCTCAGGAGTTTGCAAATCTTCAAGTTACCCGTGAGGAGTTTCTCTGCATGAAAGCCATAATACTACTCAACACAGGTGAGATTGAATTATTCCCTTATGGGGGATTTTCTGCTTTGAGTTAGCCACACTGAGTACACAATGTTGCAGACAGAGATGTGAAGCTTTGGTGACCATCTATGGTAGAGTTGCACAACAAAGGGAGTGTTGCACATGGTCACTGGGCCTTGACAAGTTGTAAGTAGCAACTGCTATCAAGTCTGACTTCTACAATGCCTGGAAAACATTGTTGTTGTTATATGGTGTTGTTTTTATCGCAGCTTATTCCTTCCAAGGCAATAATTGCAAACTGCTAATTCTATAACAAGCTTTTGTTCTCAGCTTTTATAACAGAAGAACACTTTTTCTAAATTCAAAATTGCATAAAATTGCATCCTTTCTGCTCTCAGTGCCTCTTGAAGGACTCAAAAGTCAGCCAGCCTTTGAGGAAATGAGACAAAACTACATTCGGGAGCTGAGCAAGGCTATCCAGATGAAGGAGAAGGGCGTGGTGGCCAGCTCCCAGCGCTTCTACCGCCTCACCAAGCTGATGGACGCCATGCACGATGTAGGCTTCCTCACAGAGCTGACTGCAGCAGCACTGAGCTATGCCACCTTAACGAGTACCAATACAAACATCTCTCTCCCATGTCTTTGTCGGTCTGACAGATAGTGAAGAAGGTCAACCTGTTCTGTCTGAGTACCTTCATCCAGGCCGATGCCATGAAGGTGGAGTTTCCAGAGATGATGTCGGAGGTCATTGCCTCCCAGCTTCCCAAGGTCCTGGCCGGCATGGTGAGGCCCCTCTTATTCCACACCAAGTGATGATGCCAGCACAGACATCCCAACTCTGTGGAGACAGCTTGTGACTGGATTAATCATTTCACAGTTACTGGATTCTTCACATCCTCCATTCATGTAATCAGGCATTTATACTTTGCCAAAAAAAACCACCTCTGAATCCCGTGAGGTAAAACAGAATGAACATGTTTCTTAAAATCTTTTTAACAGACATCTTGAAAATTATAAATTCATAGGGATCAGTCAATAAAGCTCCTCTGTATTGTTCTGGCTTTTCCACCATCTCCCCTCCTGCAACTTGTGTACTGTAGGTTTTGGAAATCATTAGAGATTCTGATATTTTTGTACTGAAGCTGCAAAGAAAAGAAAAAAAAGGAACCAAACAAACATTCTATTGTTAGTAAAGGAGCAATGCCACCACGTAACCTTCACGTGAATTCATTTAGGGTAGCCACAAAGCGACAACCTGCATGTACAGGGAGGTGAAGCTTAAAATATTTGTCTAGAAAAACTTTAGAGCAAGCTGAAATGATGAGTTAGAATATAACTATACTATAAAAGGGGAAATCTTGAAATCATTAAGTACACCAGAAAGCTTAAGTGCTTTGTTTTTATGTTTAGCTTCATTTCAAGGAGTATTTGTGGGAAATAAAGATGGCTAGTAGTCAGGCAGGTTTGATCACCAAACCTGCCTGACTACTAGCCAACTTTAATTTTCATTCCCATACGTTTTTTTTTCCTGTTACCCTTTTCCAATAAAAAATGCTGTATAATTCTTACTTGACATCTTTATTTGTTACCTACAAATAAAGATGCTGCTTATATGCCAACGTATTTTATATTTATTTATTGCTCCTCACTGCATTGCCCCTAACAAACAAAGTACACGACCAATAATACGATTACTAACACACACATAAAATATTCTAGAAAAGCTTTAGAGTAAGTGAATTGGAAACGACTCCACACACATCTGGAACAAGGCAGTAAATCACCCAAACTTTTTTAAAATTCTGCATCTGTGTTAATGAGATGTGTGTGATGTTTTATGTCAGTGTAGTAATTTATGTAAAAAAAAGCAAAAGTGAAAATTAGTTTCACAAGCTGACAAAATCCCTTCATAGTGAAAAAACAACTGATCACACCTTCCTCATCCCGGGATTTAACTTGAAACCAAATCGCATTTAAGTCACTAAGCTTTTAGAGTAACAAATGGGACACAAGAGATGTAAAATATTGCTGCCTTGACAGAAGAAAAATGCGCAATAAAAACCAAAAATAGCTATTGATAGGGACCTCTAAATCTAAGGAGAGCTACAACATCAGATATTATCGCTCAGTACCTGTAACAAAGAAATGTAGACAGGTTTAATAAATCACGTTGTTTATTTATAGACATGTTTATGCACTGTCAAGATACAGCAGATGATTGCAAAGAACAAATATATAAATGGACGTTTACATATTCAGGATATGAAAACCATTTCCGTGATATGCCCCTGAAAAATTCAGACTGTAAGGGAGTGTTCGTCCAGCATTACTGTTCAAGGCCACCTCACATTCTTAGAGATGTAAATGGAAAAGAACACCCTGATCTTGGCAAGAGAAGGCTCTTAAAAAAAAAAAAAAAAAAACCCTCCCTAATACATTTTGGACAATCAAGAGAAAGTTTTTACTTTGGCGTAAATCTTACAGTTTGTAATAACTGAAGGGCCAAAGCGTTGTTGATTATGTTCTTTCTTTTGTTCTGCAGAAAAAAAATATCACTGGAGTTTAGATAATTCTGGCCTTTGTTCTTTGGTAATGTAACAGAAACAGAACATTAACTATTAAATGTCACCTTTGATATAACATTATCTAATTGGCTTTACTGGTACACCAGTGTACCAGTGAGTACAGTACCACAACGTTACAGCTTCAGGCTCCGTCTCATGCACATTTCATTACAAGAACAGACTTTTTTTTTGGCATATATTTGGTGTGACAGTGAGTAGTAATAAACAGTTATGATGATTTTTTACGAGCAATTACAGAAAGAGCATTAACGTACAGTACAGCGCCGTGGAGCGAACAGGAAAGTGCACTGCAGCAGTGAGCAGGTTCAGTGGACGAACAATGATCCATAAACATGAAAGTTAAGGTGCAAACCCATTATGCTTGTTTTTTTTGTTTTTTCTATTAGATTCTAATAGATTACTATCCTCATTTTAAATCACAGCTTGTTCAATTACAGTTAATAATAAAAAATGTTTATGAGACAATAGATTTCAATTAATAACTTGATGATGGTTTTATGTTGATATAATGGGAAGTTAAATGATTATATTTCTGGGAATAAAATCTGTGAAATGGGATATGATTGTTTTGTGATTCTGTAGGCTAATACAGAGACTAAGAACATCAGTGCAGTCGATGGGTGATATATTTACATGTAATCATAATAATAATGCCATACCTATTTCTTTCTGAATCTCTGCAGAGTCATTACAGAAACGGAGGTATATGTTTTGGTGAAAGCAGTTACTGGCCTGCTTTATTGCATTTGGTGTAGAAATTCAGCAACAATAGGAGCATCACAATAATCAACCACATTGTACATTATTTGTTTTTCATGGATGCCATGAACAAGACGCAACGTTTACCACCTGTTAGAGGAAGACGACATAATTCTCGGGGATTAACCCTGTTTTTCCCTCGTATGTTGCCTGGAGCCAGCCTGGTTCAACAGACGGGTACACTGCAAGACAAAGGAGGGACACAAAAAAGTTAGAGAGGCGGACTCCTGATCTCCTGGAAGCTGATTAGAATCCCTTAGCCTCCAAGATTTGGTGGATAGCAGATCGAAGCAGATTCAGAGTCGTCTCTGCCTTTTAAATTTCGTCAAGAGCAACAGAAACAGTATAACAACAATAGAAATCATTGCTGGGATGCACCAGCTAACACAATCTAGTGGAGATATGCTGAGTAAGGATGCAGAAAGAAAAAGAAAAGGCCTGTTAATGTTCAGAGCAATAAAAGCGGCCCGCCTGCTCGTAAATGGTAGGGAGCATTTGTTGACGTTTTTGTGTTCGGCTGCTGGCTCTGCTGGCTGTGTTAACAGGGAACAGGCACTGGTGCCTTCCATCACTAGGTTACTGTGACCTGCCTGCACTGGTTGTGGGCCAAGTCATCTCTTAGTGGGAAAAAAAAAAGGCTAGAGGCAATAAAAATCCTGGGGCTGAATGGATTTCTGAAATGTATATGGGGGAGGCATGCTTCGAACACAATTATTTCACCACAAATGAACAAATCTCTGCTGTAAATTGTGAGTATACAACACATACAAACCCAGTTTTATGTAAGTTGTATGCATGCAAGAAGGCATGAGGCGAACACTTCTGTAGTAAAGTCAACGTCAGCTGAAGGAGTTACTGTAAAAACTGCCTTTTTCCGGCTCTGCTCACCGTTTGAGAAGAGCGCCCCCTGAGGGAAGCTGAGCTCGTGGCTGTGCTCTGCCTCGCAGGAATACATCGCCTTGGCATCTCTGTAAACACCACAAAAGCGAGCAATGTCATATGAAGATGAGACGATTTTGAAGACTGACTAATTAATTAAAACTGATGTAGATGGTGTAATGTTTTCACAGCACCTTCCAACTGGTGCAGACTGTGGGGAGGAGGCATTTTCAAAAAGCAGTGCTCTGGCAGCGACCCTGAAACAATCAGAAAAACAGCAGCACTTGATTATTTAAAGGATGCTTTTAACACATAAAGCTCAAAACTAAACGTTCGTATTTGGAATATTAAATATGTCCGATGACGTTGGAAAAATGGCAATTTATTTTAATACATCAGCGTCTCAAAATGAAATTCAGCCTCGTCTGACCTTCTCTGACCAAAACATGTCTGTTCACTTTCTCTTAGCCTTGCCAGCGTCTTTCATTGTTTAGAATCAGGTGAAAGGCATAACGACAATACGGGAGGTTTCCTTCCTCCGGGCGGACTCAGGTTCAGCACGGCGCTGAGTTAAACTATATAACAAGGCTGCACTTGACCCTGCGCACAACAACCTCAGAGTCAAGAGGACAACGGAGCCTAGGGCAGGCTGGGCGGGTGCTATACAGGGAAACTACTCGAGAGGGAGAGCGTGTGACTGGCTGCTCAGACATGACAAGTCAAACAATCTATTTGTCCCGAGAGAACAAATGCAGACTGCTGCTGGGTCACATCAACCCTAGAGCAGGCAGAGTGTAATTAAAGCCAGCTCTCCCACCAGAGCAGAAAAGACATAACTCTCTGAACACATACTCATCTGATCTTGGAGACCTCTCAATGCTCATAAACAGACGGAGGAGGAGGAGGCTGACGACTCAGAGGGGAGAGACAGCGATGGGGGGGAGGAAGACAGGAAGAAATGTTGCTGAACTGTTGTCCTCAAGCGTTATTGACTTGTAGTTGTTTTGTGGGGGCACAAGAACTGTATAATGTGTATATACTGTATATACACACCCACAAAATTTAGGTTGTAAAGGCCATTATTAATCATTCTGTATCCTGCTAACTAAATAAAAGGTCAGAAAACTTTTTAAAAGATGCATATAGATGCCCGTTTCTCATAAAAAAAAGTGACAGCTTTCAATCTCTGGCTTACCAACAATCCAAACCTCACAGAAATTAGATTTGCGATCATGTGAAACCAAAAGAGCTTGAATAATTGTTAATTTTCCTCCCAGTTGGTTGATCATTTCAGCCCTGGTTTAATAAATGAAGTAATAAATAAAGCTTTCACCGATGACGTCACACTGCAGGTGATAGAGAGAGAAATTATTAGCTTGTAAAAATTCATTACACTGATCCAGGTCTTTGGTATCCGTTGCTGACTGATGTGTCCATCCTGCGGCGGATCACTTGTTTTGGCGGCAGGTCCGGGTGCTCACCGGGCTTTAAACCCTCTTTGGACTCCAGTGTTGACAAATTTTGGACAGATCCAGAGCAGCTCCTGCGGCCTTGAGGGACACACAAATAATACCTTGTGTCTCCTTGTAAGTAACACAAAGACACAAAAGTCACATGCGGCTGACACACTGCACCGAAACAAGCCGGGAAATGAAACATGTAAATAATATTTTAGCACCGCGGTTAAACTTCTCTACTGTCAGATCCTAAAAGCTCCGGAGGAGTAAATCATAACAATAAAAACTATCCAGTTTATGAATTCTATCCTGCGAGTGACACTTTCATGAGATTCCTATCCACTTCATTACCGCGAGGCAAACAAAATAAATGGACTAATTACAGGCGAGCGTAAACTGGCGTGGCCTGATGACGAGCTTACCTTCAGATATATGCAGTGATTTCAGAGATGGAGCGGTGGAGCGATTAAGCAGCACCGGCCGGAGGTCAGCGCGGCAGTGGGGGGCTTTTTTGGGTGCGGGAGACAGCCTGGGTGCTGTGCTGATCGAGGACAGGCTGAGCGCGTCCTCTGACTCTCCATCTGTACGCCCCGTGTCCTCCCTGGAGCTGGACTCGGGACTGCTGACACATGCGGCGCTCCTGGGGCCGTTTGAGAGCTCTGACGGCGTCCGGCGGAGGTCCAGGAGCGACTTGTCATGACTTGTCCTCTGTCCAGAGCAGGCTGTTTTGGAGGAGGTGTTCTGCTCGGAGGAATGGGACGACAGAGACTCCATGCTGCCCATGGGGGTGCTGCTTGGGCTGCTGCTGAAAGTGTCACCTATGCAGGGACCAGAGAACAGGCACACAAGGCCCTCATTAAAACCTGCTTGGTAGGAAAGTGATTTAAAGGTTCTGACTTAGAGAAAATACTTGGAAAATATGTGCCTTATCTGCTTTCTATTACGAGGGACTTAAAATGGCAAATAATCCAAATAAATTTATTGAGGCAATGTGTGCAGATGTCTGGCAAAAATTAAAGGCCACTGACAATTGGCAGTTTGCGGATATGGTGACCTGTGGCACTGTTTGCTGTTTTGGTACTCACTTTCTGCATCTGCCAGGCACAGCGTCGGGGTGTAGAGGCTGCGGGGTTTCCGAGGCCCTGTGGACAGACAGATGGCTCTGCTCCTGCGAGAGCCAGGCCGGCTCTGGGGTTGAGGCAGGGGCACGTTGGGGTCTGGAGGCTGGTAGAAGATCTGTAGATGTGAAAACAGAGCATTGGTTACTGAACACAACTACATAATCTATGTATCGCCGTACATTTTGGAAGAGTTTTAAGCTTATTAGCCATCGTGTACAACTCTCAGTACTGAGCATGGAGCTGGAGGAAATGATACCATGGGATGCAAGAAGGATTTTGCAAATTACTTCACTGAGGTAGATCTCTTTGCATCCCTAGTTGGTTATTAAACATGCTGCAGGTATGATCAGGGCGGCTGTGGCTCAGGTGGTGGAGCGGTTGTCCTCTGATCGTAAGGTTGGTGGTTCGATCCCCTCCACAGTCGAAGTGTCCTTGGGCAAGACACGTAGACTGTATAAAAGATGGACGTAGCTACCGTGACGTCACCCATTGGTTTCTGCACTGAAAAAATGAAGCCAGGGTTTTGCTACTTCCTGGTTGACATCTTGGATTTTTGGAGCCAGTGACGCAAAAATCGTCGGAGGGGGGCGGAGCCATAGGAGCAGCGATTGGTCAGATGGATTGAGAGGCGGGCCCTCTCTGCCCGCCCACATTTACCGCCTTCTGCTCGCTTCGTCTGTATGGTCGCTGCCGACTGTCAATCAAGCCAGCCACGCCCCTTGCCCCACAAAATGTTGATGATTTTTTCAAAATTCAGTATTGATTTATTTTCAGATTGGCCACCTGATCTCTGGATTTGACCATGAAAACTAATAAGAAACAAATCCTGAGCTGTAGGAATGCGGTATTTCGTGATCTGTGATCACTTCTTTTCCAATTCAAGTCTATGGGAGCCAGGGCTTTTTGGAGCCTGCAGCTGGTGGATGTAGTTTTTTGACACTTCTGGGTTGGCTTCATTTTTCAGGGCCGGTATCTACGTCCATCTTTTATAAAGTCTATGGCAAGACACTGAACCCAAAGTTGCTCCCAGTGGCAGGCTAGCACCTTGCATGGCAGCTCTGTCGCCATTGGTGTATGAATGTGTGCGTGAATGGGTGACTGAGAAACATTGTAAAGTGCTTTGAGTGCCGCTAAGGTAGAAAAGCGCTATATAAGTGCAGATCGTACAACCAGTGGAATCAACACACAATCTGCTTATTTGATCCAAAAACTGTATCTCAACTGAATATTGAATATATTGAATATTGAATTTATTGAATTTCCCTTCTGGGATAAATAAAGTATTTTTCATTCATTTCATTTCATATCCTGGAAATATAGTACGACTTGTATTAATCTTGTAAGATGAAACACAGTCTTTCTATTAAACATTAAAAAATATATTGTATGTCATCAGGGTTTTGTCCACAAACCTTTTCTGGGAAATCTGGAAACGTTTCTGCAATATCAGTGGTCACAAGGGTTTGCAATTAAAGGCCTCTAAACAATATCAAATGGAATTAAACGGCTCTGACAGATTTGTAAACAGGCCGTCACCTTGTTGAAGTTCTCGATGAGGATTTCCACCACAATGTTTTGGAATTTGATGTTCATCATGGCGGCCACAGTCTCCTCTTGCGACCGCATCAGAGTGGGACCGAAGATGACGCCCAGGTTCGACACCGTCATCAGGTTGTGCTGGTTTTGTGCAGAAACCCTGCATATAGAAGACATAGGCGTCACACAAGTGTAAGAAGCTGTTCTCTGCTGGTATTATTATAACGCAAACTCACTGTGGTGTCATTTTTACTCAGCGATACAGACACTTGTAGAGACACCTACACATGCACTGCAGGGCCTCCGTACTGTGAAGACTAAACTGTCACAGCTTTATCTAGTTTCAGCGATTTTTATTTTGTCTCATAGGACCTTTTTTTTTTTCCCTTCTTTTTTTTAAGGCTGCAGTGTAACTGATTTAATACAGGAGCACCTACGTGACAAGGTGTTTTATTAGTAACTCCAGCATTTCCTTGTTCCTCTCGGGCAGCTTGTGAACCAGAGCATGGACGGCACACACTCTGTAGTTCTGGTCATCGGACTCTGAGGGAAAGAAAACAAGGTAAAATAATGAGGAGGGTCAAATACTAAAACTAGAAATGCCAAACTGGCAATTACTGATGTACAGAATGAATATATTTTAGCCCTGTCCAAGAGGCATGACAGTGACTGTGATCAGATTAAATTCATTTTCAGTTGTAATTATACTGATGTGGTAATGTTTGACCAGCATGACTGTAGCTGCAAAGCAACATAAGATAAGTCCACCTCTTCAAACTGTTCAAGATCAGATTTTTACATTCACATCCAATTTGCGATATTCTATCCGGGCATGTAGAAAGATTCACACGGGCATTGATTAAACCAATTTACCTTCTCAGTCTGACACAACGTGACAGTGATGCCGAAACCACCTTCTGGGATGGAAACCGTTTAACTGGTTCAATCTCAGCTCATTTGATTTCCCCACTGTCAGGACCTCGGTGTGGTGCCTATCAAACTTTAGATGACTAAATTTGGATGTAAACCACTTCAAAATAAATTCCCCTTTAAAATGTTTAGATATAAATTATGGCGAGTTTTCAAAATCAAATGAGAACACCTTCTGGCAGAGACAAAATCTACCCATAAACATGCCTAATTAGAAACAGAATTTGCTAAATAAGTAATGAGATGTGCATACTTTATTAGTGGTTTTATATATATTATAAGTGGTAGTAACTTTTCATAACTTACTGACAGCCATGATGAAATCTTTGTGGAACTTGAAAGTCATTAGAGGCTCAGAGAGACACCTGAAGAAAAAGAAAGAAAGACATTTGGCATTTTATTTCCCTAAGTGACATGGGTCTTTTAAATGCAGCCACCTCCCTTTGTGAGTCAGTGGCAGCGCTGAATGCATGACTAACGCCAAAGAGGTTTTTAGAGAGGCATTATGGAGGCAATGATGACTCCTGACAGTTAAGGACGCGCAGCCGGTGGGGCGAGCTGACCTGAGGTAATTCTTCAGACCGCTGGTGATCGTTTTGTTGTCCCACGTCTCCGGATCCAGGTCCATATCCACAGGTGCCTTGGATGCTATTAGAAACACATTTTTATTTTTCTATCAGCGATGAAGCTGCGACTGTCTCAAGGAACCAACTTGACATGGCCGACATGACAGGCTGCTTAACTGAGAATTAACAAACACTGACTGTCTGCTCGCATGAAGCGACTAAAGAGGATAATCTGAAATAAATGTGAACGCGCAAGAGTACATGCGCGGCGTCTCGCAGAGATGGAGATCAAGCTTTATGGAGATTTTGGTAATTCACTCAGACGTTTCCTGTTCAAATGTATGAAATGTATGCAAACAGGATTACGTCGGGTAATTTAATAAAGTAATGACAAAGCAACACGAGGCCAGATGGCGGTTACACTGTCGCACCACAAGGAGGACCTCTTTCCTTAATCTGCAGGATCACATCATGTTTGCTGAAGCCCTACGTTCAGCCTGACAGAATAGTAGAAAGTGTTCATGCAAAGAAACTTTTAAAGGCACAAAAAAAAAGGCGAATCAGGCACTTATAATTACAGAACTGCACCTGTTTTGGCATGTGAGAAGGTCACCGGTGAGGCTTTTATTTTCAGCTACTTACAAAAGACTGTGGTCATCAGCTTCTGCACTTTGGAGTTGACCCCTCCGATTCTGTACAGCCCCATCGTGTTTATGCCTGCAACGAAAAAGGCAATTCATGAATTGGAACGAGGATCAAAGACGATCTGTTCACTTGTGACTCATACCAGTGTGACGTGTTGTCATGTTCACTCATGAATAAAACGCACCGCTGATTATAATCGCGCGCTTTGAACCAATTGACACAAAGAAATTGGAGAGATTTAAATGTCTCACCTCTCATCTCGACCAGGTCAATGCATTTCCTCACAAAGTTAAAGCCCGCCTCATTAAGAAATGCTGTAAGACAACACAAGAATAGGGGTTGACGTGTCAATTACCATGTGTGTTAACCACGCATAATGTAGGAAGAGTCCCTCATGGCTGTGCTCAAACTAATAAGACACAAACCGAGCGCTGGAAGGCTTCGCTATGTCAGCTGAGGAGGCGTATGTCAAATAATTGTGTTAATGAACAGAGATAGCTATAGGTATCGACGTATGTGTGAGCGTTGGCAACTCTCTTCTCTTATTCTAAACCTGAGAAGGCCGAATTTATGCATTCCAGTGATGGATAGAGGATAGAAACAGAAAAAAAACACCACTTACTTTCTTCCTTTTTGCTTAATATGGCTGGAAGGTTGTAAATCTAGAGAATGTTCACAGAAAAAAAAAAAAACATAAGTTAAGAAACGCTTTGCTTCAAATTGAAACAAAATCATTAAAAAAAAAAAAGTAGTGGGTCTCCTCACTGCTACTATGCTATGTCCTATTATTAGCACAAGTAAATGGTGAGGTCATGGTTTCTGATGAACAAATAGCCTGAAGCCACCAGTAGAGGGTGCCAACGATGGTTTCTTTGGGTCTCAAAACAATTACAAAACATCCTGTCCAAACAGTAGCCACCACAGAATGAATATTTCAAAGACAATCAGGCAGAGTTCCTCACCGGCTCCTTTCCATCCATGGCCTCCAGCCACAATCTCCGATTGGACTCTGACAGTGCCTGCAGTGTCATAACACCATGCCTGGAAAGATTTAAAAAGAAAAAAGCTGGTCCCAGTCTGATCTCATTGCCTTGGGGGCCCCTGGACAGACCATGTTTACACTGGCTGAGACCACTATAAAAGGACTCGTGTAGCTAAAATAGCTCGTGTGCAAATGCTTGACTTCAAACTGTGCCCTCGCTTGGCTTTGTGCTTTACATTCCACCCCCAATTAAAAGCTACATGTGCTTAATATCAAAGTGAAGGAAAGTAATTTTTTTTGCACCCAACATGCACATACTTCTATCTTTTCCTCACACCACTCTGTACCACATAGCTTGAAACTGACCTAAAAATTATCTTGATTTTTTAGCTGAAGTATATGTTATGATACCGGCAAACGAACCGCTTAACCCCACCCAGAAGTGATCGTTAGTATAGCATGGAGCCATGTCAACTTGCATGTGTTACAGTTAACAGGTCATTTCAACCAAATTACAACCCCCCCTGTATATTGTTTTGGATTTATTTGACCAGTTTCTGAGCTGTCTGACATCAACACCTCCAACCAGACACACTGGACGTGGAAGCAAATAAACACAGTTGCGATGCTCACAGCACTGAAAACATTGAAAGATTCAATAGCAAAATCCTTTCACCAGAAATCTGACTCTGTAATCGATAATACAACCTGGCATCGGTTTTCATCCGACGTATTTTCTGCCAAGTCCCTCTGAAAACAGTTGACAGCGAGGTCTGTGTAATATCCAGAGCATCAGGGACGGTCTTTACAGAAAGACATGTTGCTGCTAAATTTCTAATAACATTCTTTCATTGCTTTGAGCACCGCAAATGAAAGTCTATTTATTAGCGGAGGTTTCAGGGACAGATATCTCAAAAATCTGAGCAAATAAAATAAAACTGCTTGCATGAATGCCCCCTCCCCCCTCTTTAGTAATTTGGGTGAACCAACCCTTCAAAAAAAAAATGAGGTCCTGAGATGGTTGGCCTGATTATGGCTGGGCTATAGGTGCAACAGCATGTTTATTATAATGAGGATGAATGGATGAGTTTGAAGCTGACTGGAGCTTGGCCCACATTGTCCTTGTGGTTGGAACACGCACCTTGGGGCATCACACTTTATGATAAATGAGTTGTCCTGCAAATAAACTGCAGTTATTGTCCGTGCTCAGCAACACTTACCGAGGGTGAGCAGTGCTGGGCCTGCTGCTGCTGCTGCTGCTGCTGCAGTGCAACGCTAACACACAGTGATGAGCTAACTCTACTTTGAAGAGGTGCACATCATAATAATGAGCTCATATCAAGCGTCCATGATGCATCGCTTGACCAATTCAGCCAGTGTTAATCAGCTGACAGCCACTTAAAGGTGCCTGATCTTTGGCCAGTCCCTGATCCTTCTCCCCCCAGTGAAACATTATATAGAAATAAATTATGAATGTTCCCGCAAAGCTAGAAAAAACACTTTTCAAGAGAGGCGGAAAAATGATCAATTGAGTTCAATTCCATAAATCAGTGTGTTACGTAAGTGAGTGCAGCAGACAAGTAGAAAAAAAAATTCAAGAGTGTGTCCTGTAGCCCATATTGACCAAGTGATGCCTGATTTTGTGAAGTGGTAAGAAGGCAACAGCGTTTCATTAGGTTTGGATTTGAGACTGAGTGAATGATACGATTAGCAGCACACATGCAGCACATGCAACTGCTCTGAGAGGGCAGCACTGGTCAGTTCACATACCGGACTTTACAGAAAAACTGAAGTGGTCTGAAAAGAGTTCCACGATAGATGTCATTTCTACATTGACATGAACACAGAGAAAAGATGGAATGGGTTCAAAAAAATAAGGATAAATATCGATGTTGCAGACAAACAGCAAACAAGGCCTTGAGAGGGAGAGGGGGCTTGAGGAACATGCAGGACACAAACACAGCTGAGGACATCTAATGATGGTAAACTGAGTCTTTGAAGATGTTAATCAAACCTGAACAGCTCTTGCATGTTCAGAAGTTGTGTACTTGAGGGGCATTCTGGGTTAATTTCCAGGAACAGTTGGGTTCAACAGGACACAAAATGCATGAGAACAAGACGTGCAGTTTGTCATTCCTAAAATAAGTTAGTTGTAATTTTCAATTGCAAAAACCCTCACATATGCAACTAATAACATGGCAACTATTATTAACTATTTTCTCACAAGCCAGAAGCAAATTGTGCAACACATTAGGATCAGATAATCAAATCACTCTGACTTGTTGGTATTGAATTAGGTTGAGTTCAATGGGTTTTCTTTCTTTCAAACATGTCGACTGAACTACAAGTGGAAGTTAAAGGAATGAACATCACATTTTTTGTATGTTTCAGAGCCATGAAAGTGCAATATTGTTGGAAATTTGCATCACAGACCTCTCCACCACTTCGATATCAAAGCAGAAACGCTTGTCGATGGAGTCCGTTTTCCTCCGAATGCAGGACTTGAGCTTGAACATCTCCGGCTGATTCGGGACTACGCCGTTCTAAAAAAAATAAACACAAGTAATTTTTAATAAATAAAAAAAAACCAGAAACACTTGTTCGGGGTTGCAAATGTAAATACAAGTCTGGAATCATCTAATTAGTGAATGCCAACACTTGGAGGATGCTGATCAGTTTGCTGTTGCGATGAGTCATCATCTGATCTACAAGAAGTCTCATTAAGTTATTTTTAAGCGTAAATTCTTCAGAAAAACTCGTACAAAACAAGACACGACGACGCCGTTAAAGGTTATTTTCATTCCTTGAGCTCCCCCCTTTCTTGTTATTTGCGGGATCTGTTATCTTTGAACAAGTTTGGCGTCCTTTGAGTTAACAACGCTTTCGTGTTCTGTGCCCATTTTTCGGTTCTGTGACTTTGAGTCTTTCCCTTTTATTCCCTGTGAGGTGAGACGTTCTGCTGGGCCTCAAGCAGGCTCTTTGTCTCACCCACGCAAATTACACCCGCTCAGTCTTTCCCCTTAGTTTGCATGTGCAACTAAACAAAACCAAACTAAACTCAGCTACCTGTTTCCCGGATGATTTATTCTCAGTGTTACTCATGCTGAAGGTCTTGTTGCCTTTGTCATATGTGCAGTAGTGACGTATCCAAGTGCATCCGAGAGGACCTGGGAGAGAGAAAAAAAAAACGAGGAAGAAAATAGTTGAGCCAAAATTATTTTTCTTTGAATTACAGGCTTCTGGAAAGACTTCTGAAAATCAATTTGCAATTTAAGTGTGATAAATCAAAAGTTGTTTATTGCAGCTGATAAAAATCTACCATTTTTGGTCTCTCTCCCCCTCCCCTCCCCTCTCCCCTCCCCTCCCTCCTCCTCTACCCCCACACAATCCCTGTTTGAGAGCACATCAAAGTGAATCTGTAAACAGGATGAATTATGAGCTCTGTGCGAGAGGATCTTTTCTGCAGAGGCATGAGAGAGAATTCAAGACATGTTTATGGTGATGAATGTAAAACCATGCACTTATAAGTGAAGGCGGGTTGGGAGGGGGGCCCTGAAGGCTTGTAGCCCAGCGAGGAAGACTCACGTTTCTCCTGGACGTACAGGAAGCCTTCCATCGTCCACTGGCCGGGGGGTTTATAGTCCTGATCTGCAGACCTTATCCTCTTCATCAGCTTCTCCACTTCCTGCTTGGTGCTCACAAAGTTGTTTCGTGTCTATGTGGGGGGGGAAAGAAATAGCAGGATTATGTTATCAAGCCTTTAACAAATGAACTTTGTTCTACTGGCATTTTTTCTCATCTTTAAAAAAAATGACCCTACTTGCCTGCAACAACAAATAAAGGAAAAATGTCCAACAATTGACAAATGTTTCATATTTGTGCAGCTGCATGCGAACACCCGAGGAAAAGAATAACTGACATTTGCAAGCCGTTGGGAAATACAAATCTATTTCGAAAAGAAAATTTTTATTACTGTATTAGAGACAAAAAATGTAGTCGAGGTGATCTAAAATTAGAGCAAAGACTCGGATGTTAATCTTCTTTTTTTTGGGGGAGTCATAAAGGTCAACGCGGAGCTGTTTCATAGAGTGCTGAGACAGCCTCACCTTCTCCAGTTCCTATTAGAGCTCGCTGCATCCCGCGACATGCAGCGAGGGTTACGGAGGTAAAATTGTCAGGGCAGTGGCGCTGACATTTTGGGTCAGAGAGAAATTTGGACCCTCAGGCTGCAAATGGTGAGGTCATAGCGATGGAAGCAGGGGGCACGGCAGCAGCTGCAGGTTTACTCCCGACTCTAGGTCTTTTTTGACACACTACCATTAAATGGCCCGCAGTAACTGCCTGCAATGCAACACTGAAAATATCGATCCTGTGTGCCGCGAAGAATTCCATTTAATCACGCAGCCATCCATTTGTGAAAACTCTTGCTTGTTATATCAGGGTATGATAAGCTGCAGAATCTGATTACGTGGCTGGTTGCCTTTGTATACAACCCCTGAGGTGTTGAGACTTACGTTCTGTAGGTTGAACTGGAGCTGTTGTTTGTACGGCTCAAATTCATGAGCCAGCTCATATCCTTCATGGTAGAATGTAAACAAACCCTGAAGAAAGGCCAGGAGCTGGAGAGGGACAATATGCAATGTGATTCATGGAGTTATTAAACATTATAGAGCTTGATTACCAATTCACAAGACGGAGCGCTCTTTCGAAGGTATATTGTAAAAACAGCCATCCGTTATGAGCACAATAATCACTGCTATAATCACACTGATTAGAATTGCGTATCCATAAAACATAAGGATTTTTTAGGCATGCGTTGAATTATTACACTGTCATCTAAAAGCAACATTATTCAGTTTAATTCTGTGCCATCACTCACTCTGTCAAAGGAACCGTCATTTCACATTTGAAGTAAAACTCTAATTACGATGTCAGCTGAAACAAATTGAGCTGTCACTAGTTAGCGTATTTGTTCAAATTAAACACTTTCACAATGATGCACTGAACACTGCACATAAGAGATAGTCTCCCCCGCCCCCCTAAAAAAAAATCTAAAGTTTCAGAAAGCTGTGGCTCTTTATGGCTGACAGATATTGATCTTATTTTCTGTATAACACGCAAACATCCTTGACCATTGTGGAGAAAAAAGCATCAGGAGTATTGTTGGGAGGAAAAACTGATCCCATCTCTAGTATGGAAGATCCCGCAAACATAGAGCTGCTCTCAGCCAAATCCTCAGACACAACCACTGATTTGATTTCTAGGATGAGGCTTGGTATATCAAATGTTCAAGGATGAACCATCTTATCTGTGCCCAGATTCATCACAGGCAAGGTTGAGCCTTGTCATTTTTTTTCCCCCCAGCACTACCTGGGGCCTGGAGATTTACATTTCTGGCCTGGGCTGTGGGTACGTTGCCAGTGGATGTAAACAAATACGAGGGGGGCTTTTTTAAAAACAGACACTTTGCTCCCATCTCACGTTCGCAGACTTTCAACACCTACAGAATTTATTGCTTCCTGATAACGTCTGCGCTAAACATGTTAGAATTGACTTTACATATCTGGAATGTCGGCGCTTTTATAGAGCCTTTGATTTGCACTTGCACTTTCTCTTGTTTTGTTTGACAACAAATACTTCATCTAATTTTACCCACCAGCTAAATGGATCGACTACATTACAGAGAATTTGTGATGAAGATGACAAATGTGTGAAATGCACAAGTGCAGATATACAGTGTTTGTACCTTGGAGAGATGTATAATTGCGGCTGCCTTCACTCAAGGGAGGCATAACAGACATTTAAAAAGCCACTTCTGGTAGTCGTAAGTACAAAGATCTGATATTGTTTTGACTATATGCCACTTAAACTAATCTTTTATCTAAATATACAGCAAAAAAAGAAGCCACATTTATTAGTGCAACTTCAATATGCATTCAGGACAACCTGAAATATGCAAAACTCCTCTTACCGGTTCGACAAACTCAAATTTCTTCTTTTCTTGCACTTCTTGTATTTTGAAAACGTACTCGAGAGACGCATCGTAAAAGAGTTGCCTCTCCTTATCAATCTGCGTGTCGGCCTGAGAACGAGCAAACAAAGCGGGGTTAGTGCCGCGACAAAGACCGAGGTCAGACCTGTGTGGACAGAGGGTTCACGCTTACATCACCGCATGGAAACGCTGTGTGCTTAAGGAGCAGAGAATAGAGCACAAACAATAGTTTTAGGGGACGCTCAGCTGACCATAAAACTGCATTTTTCAAAGAAATGTGTTGTGGTCTTACCTCCTGTAGATATGCCTCCTTCTTTTTGGATGACAAGTTGAGGTGTCTCTCTAGCGTGGAGTAATATTTCTCCGTTTCCTTATCGAACTTCTTCTTCCCGTCCTTAAAAAAAAGACCCACAAGAAATTTAAAGGGGCTTAAACATTACCAGAAATGGGTTACCTATTCCTGATCTGGGGGGTATGTGATTGCATTGCCACTAGGTGGAGGTCTAGCTACACTTTCACATGCCACATGTCATTTAAAATTCCTGTCAATAGATTATTACAGGTCATAAAGGCGGCATATGACATGTGTAATGACGAGCAGACAATGCCGGCATGACTGTGCATTATCAATGGGGCTTCTGAGAAATCTGCGCTGTAATTCTCGCGCCGGCCCAGCTGGGGACATAAGTTCACAGCAAAATACATAACACTGTAAATCACCAATAGCATAATGCATTTGGCAGCGTCACAGACAGGACCGGCTGGATGCTGTTTGCATTTTCCCCCTCCTTGTTATGCGCCGCTATCCACCTGGAGAGACAAGTCAAGCTCGATAGTCTCGAGTCCCAGGAGTGGAGACGGGGTGTTCCTGAAGACGTTGAGGGAAGGCACAGGAAATGGGCTTTTCATGCCAGATGCCCATCTATACAGCATATGGACTAAGAGATTGAACATTTCGCACCAAAAAAACGATGCAATTTGCAAGGCCTTAATCAAACTCTGTCCAAGCAGAGAGAACCTGTCTGTGTCAGGGCGTTGGAGTGTCTCATCTGCAAGTCTGACCTCTAAACCAAGCTGTGCCTACTTAATGCCCATCTCGCTACGCAAACATTCATAAAGGAGCTAGAGGACAGACAGAATATGGGGCGGGGGGTTGGGGTGGGGAAAGTGTGAGGAAATGGCCACTGTAACCAGATCCTGCTTGTTTGTTTTCATTCCCATGGCCCTGAAATTTAGCAAGTCTAATCTACTAGCTACTGATATGACCTAGAACGCCGTTCTGCTTCAGCAGCCCCCACAGCAGTTAAACAGAATGGAGGAATTCACCAGCAGACGCGGTAACGCTCCTACATAACTATTACAAGTACAGCAGAGAAATCAATAGATAATTTCATGTAGTAGCATCTTATTTCCATCTTTCTTGTCATGTCTGGCCCAGAAATGATCTTTTCTGGAGTGGGAGTGAGAGAAAAAAAGAAAAAAAAAATCAATTGCGTATATGCCCTCCTTTCTAAAACAAAGAAAAAATAAACAGGTGGATAGCAAAATAAACAAATGATTAAAAAAATGATCTCATACTGACAGGAAATAAATTTCCCTTTAGGATTGCTTTATTACGGAACAAAAGGGGAGCTGACTGTCTGCTCCGCCATTGTCGGTGCTGTTGACGTGACATTATTTTGTGAGCATGCATACAGCTGAAGCCCTGGGGAAAATACTAACACACATACATGCACACACACTGCCCAGAAACACACACACACACACACACACACACAGGGGATCACATTAAATTAAGAGCTTTAGGTTTAGCTGAGCCTCATAGTCACAGCAGGACATCTCCCAGCACTGCTGACCAGTGTGAGCATGCCAGAAAAGTCCTCACTGAAAACAAAAAAACACAAACTCCTCTGTACGCCTGGACTAACTCTTTCACACTTACAAAGAGCAGGCAGTGACTCAGAGCTGCAGTGAATCTGTGAGGCAGAGCCAACCTGATTAAGTCACCCAAAGTGCACTGCTTTGTTTTGATCCAAGCAGGACGTGTATAAACTGGTGCTGTGGTAATGATACCCTTGCAGAACACCAGGTGTTTGCTGGTTTGTCCATGTGTTTGGTGCATCACCCTCCCCACCACCACCACCACCACCACCTCCACCCCCCTGGATATGTTTGTGCAATCAGAGTGGAATATGAGCGATTTAAATTGCAAAGACTCTGGTTGAGAAGGTGGTTGCAGTGGCAGACGACAAGGCTTTGAAGCCCAACACGTGGGGGACAGAAGACGTCGGTGTGGATGGATCTACCCCCGAAGCACACGAGAGGGTGGGAGTTTCTGACACAAACTAATGCCAGTGCCGGAGAGTAATCAGCTATCTGGGGATGGATAAAGTCGAAGCACTTCCCAACAGTCTGTGGTGCACAAAACACACATGAACCTATCACTTGGGAGATTTCCTCATCTGATTGCTTTGTTGGCCCTCATGAATAAATCAGACGCAGGAAGAGAATATTCTGATGCAGATTGCTCTGTAGTGGAATTCCTAACTGGTGTAGTCTCATGTTGCTGTTAAGAGCGCTTTGATGGCAGCTGTAGAACGGGCAACTTTGCTAATTGCTAATATAATGTTGCGGGGAGGGGGAAACGATGAGGAAAACACAGCAGGCGGCCCCTGCTTCTGGTCATCAGGTGTTGTGCTGCCGCTTCCCAAAAGATGCTGAGAACAGACACGAAGACTGCGGGAGGAATATTTGGACGCTGGCTGTACATCGCCATTTTTGACACTGGCCCTAACAAGCCTCAGGGCCATCATTTCTGAGCCTCTCATCACCATGGTAACAGATGTAAGTGGCAAGGGAGGTCGGATGTGTCTGCGTGTGTGTGTGTGTGTGTGTGTATATAGTGGAAAGAGCCCCAGATATCACACGCTGTTACACCACGCTCCCTCATTTCTGTCCAACATCCTGGAATAATACAAACATCGACGGCTAGCCAGGCATCGCATGTAACATATTTCGCCACACATTCATCTTAAATGGATTCTCCGAGCAGTGACATGAAAGGGATGACTCTGCAACCTATTACTATGAGCTCATTAGAGACAGCTAATTGGAGCAGGGGTCCAGAATGGCGATTAAATAGCAATAGCTGGGTTATTTTGATGCTCCACCACACATGAGCTAGTCTCGGTTCCACGGGGGGAGACAGAGAGAACACAAGGCTTCAGATCGAGTTCAGTTACTTTGCTGCAAAGCCAAAAAAAAAAAAAATGTCTCCCTCCTTACCTGGAATCCCACTTCCTAAGGAGACATCACAGGGAAAGAAAGAAGTTGGCCAATTAACAAGAAATAATTACAAACATCTGCTCGTGAGGAGCTCAAAAACAAACACACAGACCTCTAAAATAGACCATGTTTAGCATGCGTGGCGTACCGCAAAGCTTTAAAAATAACATTTATCAGTGCTTTAACTTCCCGCGACATGTATTAAATCTAAAGTAATTCAATTAAAGTACAACATATAGTATGTTGTTTGCTGATAAACGCAGATATTTCCTTTGTATCTGATCTCAGACGAACTGTCAGGGTGTAAGTAACGCTGCCAGGAGGGGGAAAAAAAACCCGGTATCTTCATGAAATCAATGTTCAAAAACCTCTTTATTATTACGGGGTGAAAAAGTCTCTTAACAAGCTCCACTTCAATATGGATCTATACTGTGCCCTATAGGGATTCCTTAGGCTTCTCTCCCTGTCAAGATCAACCAAAACCTCTCTCTCACCTTGCAACCCAGAGATAATAAGTGGTAAAAAAAAAAACAACAACTTGAATCATCTGGAAGTTTGGACCTCCTTGTGAAGATGACACATTTGATGATTATTTGTTTTGAACCGTGTCATAGGTCAGTGGTGCTCATGACTAAGTCCGTGACTAAACGGTTCTCTCAGACCTCCCTGGTCGGGTTTGAGGTAACGGGAAGATATTTCACATTTGCATCGAAGCTATCCAACTAATTCACCCGGATTTTATATTAAGTGTCAGTTCAGAGTTCGTTTAGTTTCCATTTTAATATTTGCTGCGTCCAACTTTAAAAGGTTAAAGATTACATCACGGAGTGAACTTTAATAAATAGCCAGCTGTGAGTTTATTTACAAAGACAGTTTTCACAACAATTCAACTTCATTAAAACCCAAAGGAATTGAGGACAATCCAAAAAGGTTCATTACCGAGAGGGTCTGACAGGAAGCTCAGGCAATCTGTCCTGGGTTCAGTGTCACTTTCAGCTCCGGAGAGGAGTGAATATATTAGGAGGAAATATAAAAAGACTACAAGCCATCATGTCAGTTCATCCTTCAAAATTATCCCGTGAAGTCATTGTGCAGAAGATAATATGGGTTAGATGAAGGATAAAAACCGAAACCCTTGAATTCTCAGGTTAAGAAGTTCCATGAATACAGAAATAGCACAATGGGGAGATTAGTTACCCATAAGAACCAATCATCACTTTCAGAGATTAGGTGAAAATATGAACAGCAGACATTGTGAAATGAGAAAACTTTTCTGCTCGCTATTTAACTTACTGTTTATTATTTATTTAAAACTAATACATACTAAAAATAACACATAATACATCCGATTTACTATTCTTTCAGCTCCTTGCACCGCGTTTAATTCTACCCTGGATGATGTCACCGTTTGCGTGTAATGGAATTTAATATATATTGCTTTTGCAAGACGACAAGAAGCTGATGTATTTACAGTGGATGGCTGCTGCCTTCAAACAGGTAAAGACCGACCTCTCAAGGTCTACTTTGACTGCCTCGTGAAATTCTGATGATCAGGGGGAAAAAGTAATTACTTTTTGAAAGATTGTTTTAATGGTGTTTCTGGTTTATTGGGTAGGGCACAGTGGAAAGTGATGGGACAGATATGAGAAGAACGAAAAGATATGTATTCAATCTGCATCACATTATTTACGCATTTTGTTGGTTTTGCACCACAAAGTTCGGGGCTGATTACATTTTTCTTGACTTATTGCGGTGTGCGTTTTTTTTTTTTTGATGAATCCCTAATATATCAACTGACAATCCGGAGAGTTTGTTATGCAACGCTCCAGCTTCGATCATGTGGTCGACTGTTTTGAGTCTGGGACAACTGTGATCGCAGCCTATAATCCGTAAACACTTACTAGTTAGGAGCTCAAACAATTAGCTGACAAAAAAACTTAGTTTGACATCATTTGTGGTATTTTCAGGACCCGTTTGCATTTAAAGTCTTCCTTCACTCAAAAATCTATTTTGGTGCTTTTCTTTAACGGTAGAACGAGCCTGTACAGAATGATGTATGTTCAGAGTTGACACTAAAAGGTTGCTTTCAGATTCTTCTTGCCACAGTGGAAAGCTTGCATGTGCTTATTTAAAATCTGAGTTTAAGGTTTGCGCCTGCGGGCAGGATTTGTACATCACAATTAGTCTGGAAGCCACTCCTGCAGCAATGGGCGACTTATACTTACTTGTCATATGGAAACCAGACGTCTACATCCTACATCGACATTACTCTTTCAGGAGACATCTTGTTTCGAAGAGTTATGAAACGGAAAGTATTTGCATGTTTAAAGATTATGGATTTTTCCAATGGAGTTATATATGTCATGCTAACATTTCTTAGAGTAATGGAGCTCTTTCTAATCAAATCAGACACAAATTATTGCTCAAAGCAGAGTATTTTATACATCTTCAGAAGGGCCTGGAAGAGATCCTAATCATCCCCAAGAATTGTGTAAAACGACAACACGATGGGATTAAATTATCGCAATTTGGTTTCTCTGGAAATTAAAAAGATCACCCGAGATTGCTAGTATTTTTTTTTTAAACTCAGTTCACGAGAGACGGATACACGAAACGGCTATTCGGTACTTAACCGAGGTCTACTGGCTGATCGTAACATCCCAAGGTTAATGAAAGTATAAAAATAAACTGCTCATATCTGTATGATTGAAAATGTTTTAGCGAAGGCCACAGCTGGCAAGCGCGTCCCCGAACCACTTTAATTGATCCCTTTACTCCACGGCGTCTTGTCAAGTATATTTTGGGATTTCATAGCATGGATGAAAATGTCATGTCTGCCTTTGGAGACCGTAACTAGCCGAGCAGCATTTTGATGTCTGAACTCCCTTTGTGCGACAGTGCAAATTATCATTGGCCATCTGACTCCCATCTGGGCCTGTTTGCACTAATTCTTCACACTCAGCCAGTGTGGGACCCCTACGGTGCCCCTAATGTTGAAGAAGACCCGAGTAGGGAATATAATGGTGTCAAAATTTCAGACAGGAAGAATGCCACCCACCAGTCAGACACCCCCTGGTGCTTTCTTGAAAAAAAGTGTCCCTGGGGTCTGTTTAAATTTCAAGGCCTTAAAAAAAAACAACCAACAAACACACATGCACACAAATACTGTAGCTGAAGCTTTAGGCAGTTTAACTCAAATGATTCTCAGATTGCATAAAAGACACATGCAACAGCAGGTCTGAGGTATCAGTGTGATAGAGTATCAGTTCGCCAATTAGTGCATGAACACTAACCATGACGGACAGCTGGCTGTGTTGACACAGTGACAGAAACCAGCGCGAGTAAACTGAAACCAGGACAACTTTTTTTTTTTTAAATTCCTTATTTCGGTTCTGAAAGCTTTGTTATTTTCCTGGGAAGTCATCAACTTTCAGCACACAGAAAAACATATCTGAAACTGAATGAAAAAAAAAAAAATGGAAATGTAACAATTTCAGGTCCACATGCCAGGTTGGCAGCCAGCACATATGGTGTTCCAGTGAAAACACATGATTGTTTGGGTTCTCAAAGGCTTTCTCGATGCGTATTTGCTGTAAACTGTGCAAAGTTTGAGGGGGTTTTATTCCAAAACATTTGGTTCAGCCTTGTGTGAAGCAGACTGTGCCTAATATGTCCTATAGTGCTGCAGTCAATCTGCCGGTGCGTCATGGCCGTGGAAGTGTTGTGCTTGTTCCTAGGGAGCCGATACACTGGTACGTAACCTCAGCGGGATTACTCGCAGTATTCCCATATAAGGCAAGAGCTCCCGGTTTGTCCATCTGATGTTCTCAGACATGAAGCGCAGTAACTGGAAGGGTCAGACAGCCTGCAGATCTCTCCAGATTCTCGGAACAGTGGAAAGTTGCTCAGCCACTCGTGATGTCTGCCTTTTATCTCTCTCTAGTTGGGCTAATGTTTTGCGGGGGATAGGCCGTAGGAGGAGAGAGCCATTAGGAGGAAGTGGTCGGAGGGAATAAGTGGTAGTGGGAGTGACGGGGGCTGTGGCTTTTAAGAAACTGTTTTATAAACATAGACAGTCAGTGCAATAACACGGAGCACTATGATGGGTTGGAGTGAGAGAAAGAAATGCCAGCAAAATGTGCCATTTCATTATGGCAGATACATGTGATGGCTGAGCATGAAGCGGCGACTGTTATTTAGTCTGGCCACAAAAAGAAGAGTGACTGATGTTGGTGCCTCGGTGCTAAGAGGAGGAACGGTTCCTATTTAAAATCGCAGGTTGACTCAAGCAGACACAGATGAAGTGCAGTTTTTACAGACCGGTAGCTGCAAAGCCATGTAAAATTAAAACAGGAGAAGAGTCCGACTTTGAAGCGAGGATGTCACAGGGTTCAGGGCTGTGCAAAGATGTGCAAATGATGCATAGTCCAGTGCAGAGTTAGCAGTGGATTCAAGATACTCGGTGGGAGATCTGTGCAAAGGCTTCAGCTCTACCAGCTTGTTCATGTGTGATCTCACCGAGGGAATGACCACAAACAAGCTGCTGCACTTTCATTTTATGCCTTTGCGTTGGCCAGGAATAAAAGCATGGCTTGTAGCAACAAACCCACACTGTTCTTTGCAGTCAACTCCAGCCTCAACAGCATGTCCACTGTGGAACTAGGATGCCTTCGAGCAACACTCTGCACAAGCCCTACTGATATCAATCCTTTATATCCAATAAGTTAGGCAGGACTGAATTACACATAACAGGATCACGGTAATCTGATTACAAAAATGGCAAAGGCAATATATAAGATACTGTAACTTTACAGTAATTGGATTCTAAATGCATTTTCCTAGTCCGCGCTGCTTGATCCTGCAGAAGAAAGAACTACTTAAGATTGTAAAGTTGCACATGCTCAAATGATGACGCTACTTCCATAGAAAGTACATGAATTCAAATGCAGTGTGAAAATATTATTGTATATTGTATTAATTAATATGGTTTAAATCTGCAAAATACAGTTGGCTGTTTTTAACTTAAGCATAATGCATCAAAGATAATTATTTAGTTGAATAAGGAACCTTTTAACAACCTTAAAGAACTAGAAAGCCTTAATCTCTTTTAATTGCATAATTGAAAACTCACATCTTTGTTTATACCCCCTACTACTCAGATTGACTAGGAGCGGGTCACTTCTCTCGGCAGTGTCACGTTTTGCTTTTAATTAATGATTTACATACTGTAGGGGAGATGAAGGAGGTGAGAAGAACAGACAACAGTGTCACATCACATGAAATATCCTCCGCGGCTCGGCTGCTAATTGCGCATGTAGGTGGTCTCTTACCTTCGCAGCACCGATTTGCTCCTTCCGAAATTTTTCCAAGGGAGTAATCAAAACATCATCTGCATTCTGAATCTGAAACAAACATTGAAGAAAGCAGAGAGACAGACAGATGTCAGCCTGAGGAGGATGTGACCCGACTCATTGTAACCTTCTGAATGACTCAAAGCGACTGTTGGAAGGCAAAATATCACAAAAAACCTCATCTAGAAGTCATTCAGTTTTATTACAATGCAATTGCTCTATAAATGTGTCACACAGGAAATTATGACTGAGAATCATCCAGCTCAAGTAAAAATACAGATGCACTGAGTCCAAATACATGTGGATGATAGAGCAATCACATTCATTAATATCTCTTAAACCAGTGACAATGAACAATGTGCTACTGTGAAGGACCAAAATGAGTACAGCAGAGATATGAGATAGAGCACTCAACAATGGCCCTGCTAGGCACAAGAAAATGGAGCCTTTTTATGTGAGCTGTGAAGCACCAGCATTGTCAGACCTCGCTGAAATATGACACAGCACAGCAGATGAGGGAGCTTTACAAGTGCAGCCTGCGATGCATTTAAATTTTTGAGGTATGTCTCTACATATTGGTGACCTCTCCCGTGTCATGACCGGAGTAAAAGGTCCTTCCAGGAGCCTCTCCCTTTTTTTTTATTCCAGACAGAAACTGATAAGGTGAGATATATTGTGACAATTACACTCCACGCTCAATCCTGGTGGATGAGCAGTTCGGAAAGGTGCCATTAAGGTGCCGCTGAATTTCCTGCGGATGGGCTTTTGCCCGCCGAGATCAGATGACATCAGATTGGTGGAGCCGCTCCGCGGGAGGCGCTGTCACGAATGACATGGCTCTTAGGTTGATTTAAGGTGTTATTCCGTGTGGTGAGTGTATGTGATAAACCAAAGGCTGAGCTCTATAATACATCTATGATACCAGCACTAATTTAGCGGCGTCGGCTCAGATGGACTATCAGCTCTGCGGCTACAGTCCCCTTGAACACGTGCGCACCTTCTCGGGATGGAGTTTTTGTTTTGAACCATTAATCACGGCGCATTTTCATTGTCCAAAAATAACCCTGTCAGCTCCATCAGCCAACCAGAATGAGAGACTTCAAAGGGAAGCTACAATCTCTCTGAGCCTGCATTGTTTTCCTTCTCCTTTTATATGCAGCGATGCGGGATGTCGTAAGCTTGTAAGTGTAAATCTGGGGCTTTGTTGCAGTAATGTAATTTAATTACACGGTGATATCTACAGCCCTTCAGATATAGAAAAAGATCCTTCAAACTCAAAACCAATAGAACTCAGATAAGGATGGAAGCACTATATCACAATTCCAAATATTTGCTAATACTACAATCATTTGTTCATACATAATGTACACCAACAAGCCAAAACAATATAATCCCAAATGAACGAATGATAATCTTGCAGCATTGGCCACAGTCATGGTGTCTGATATATTGGACGTGAAGTGAACAGAGTAAACACGTTGGATGCAGTGGAAATGGGCAGACTGGTGCAGAATATCTCAGAAATGGCAGCGAGGGACAAACTGGGGACATTTTGGGGGTATTTGGGGGGATGTGCTGGAACAAGTCTGATATGTAGCAGCTTCAGCTCGACACTTACAGGACTTAAAGGCTCTGCTGCTAATGTCTTGGTGCCAGATACCACGGGGCACCTTCAGACTCTATTGTTCAGCACGTTGGAGCTTGTCGTTTTTCTTGCCGGGGACAAACCTCGTATGTTTTGGGGATTATTGCTGCTGTGCGGCAGAACAGAATCAAACAGTCGATCAAACATCTAAAGCGCATGAAACTTTATGCACAGTACCGTCGATAGCAATTTACTCCAGTGATGAGTCACTGGCAGGTGCGATGTGGCGTAACACGCGTTTATGCATCGTCAAAGCATCGTTTGAACAGAAAGTGTACGTGGCATGGACACAGCAGTACATGTTAGTTCAATTTTGATCGTTTTTAGACTTAAAATGTGTACAAAAAACGAATTAATTACAATCAACAGTTAGAATTTAAGGAAGGAAATCATGCTCAGTTTAATATTGAGAATATTTATTCATCCAGTAGGAATATAAAATATTTGTTGAGTTGAAATGCAACAACTGCTTGTTCTGTTTTCTAGCACAGTAAATGCAGAAATGCACTGACTGACCGCTATTGCATTGAACATTTTTGGATTTTTCAACGTTACTATGCACTTTTCATGTATTTATTTTTTACAACGATCTTAAAAGAATTGAGTGGAACAAATATCTGTAGACTCTCCTTCCTTCCCTTTCATGTGTTATCACTAAACTCTCACACTATGATCATCACATTTAATTTTTGCTTAATTTACCTGTGAATATCTAAAAGATGCTAAAAAAAACAAAAAACACCCATAAACTGTTTTTACACATCTAACAATTAACGGAGGAATATTATCTTTACCCTTCACTTATAATTAGTCGAAATGCACGCGCAAATTGCTTCACACATGACATTACCACTCCCAACTTGTCCATTAGTGAATGGGGTTTACAAGCATAAGGAAGAGAGCACTTCTGTAAGATAAATTAAGGCAATTTGGTGAGAAGTGACACTCCACTAGAAGCATGGAGGACATTTGATGGTCATCAAATCCAGCTATTATAATCCTCCAGTCATATCGAAGTCATTGTGTTATCTACTGTGTCAACAGCAAGAATTACTACTCTGCCGGTGTGATAATGTCATTTCCTCCGTCTTATCTCCCATGCTTTCAGTTTAATTGAGCTGCTAGTATTACTGTGCTTTAAATGTAGATTTCAAATACCATTAGCTTCTCTTTTTTTTTTTTTTTTCATTTTCAGCTAAATGGACAGGACAATTAAATATCGGGCACTCTAAGCCTTTGAGACTATATTCAAATATTTAGAAATGAATGTTTTTTTGGATTTCTATACACTCAGTGGTTGATTTGATTTATTTCTGAAAGCTACCGGTAACCTGAAACCTACTAGATGTAAGCATGCTCAGAACTACACTTTGGAACGAGAAGAAAACATAATCAGTGTTCATTTCAAAAAATAATTAACAGTGGAGTGCTGCTAATGAGGGTTAGCGCACATTACCGCACATTCAAGGCGACACAAAACGCAGACAAAAGAGCAATCACGATTTAAGATGTTCAAGATTTCTGCTCCGTTTTGAATATTAATTTCAAACGGGCTGATTCAGATATTTATACTTGAAGGAGGCCAACTTATTTAAGACTCAATGGATTACTTTCAAACTGGCATTGTGCCGAATGCCCTCAGCAACAGCCTCTCTCAACAGGATTAAATCCATATGAGCGAGCACAGTGTGATGCTTGAAAGGATGCAATAGCGCTAAGCAATTTCATTACCAGATAGGGGGAGGAATGTCAATGCGCTGTATTTCCCTTGCTCTTGCTTTTTACCAGTCCAAATATCAAGCGGATCAAAAGTGTTACTCCGAGGTTAATTTGCAGAGACAGATCAGAACGCCACAAAGGCCACATCAGATTGAATAGTGCAAAGTGTACCAATTGAAATTTGCCCTTGTCAAAAAATACGGTTAGCTGAAATGTGAATATCTACTCTAAATAGTTTGGATACACATTTAATCGCCTCTGCACCTTTTTTTTTTTTTCTCTCCACAGCATTTCCAACACGTATGGTATATTATGTGCGGCCATTTCTGTTGCATAGGAATAAATAACAGCTCGCCCAGGTGAGCTCCGGGGAATATTTTGGATGAAAACCAGCCGGTTCATTAAGCAAGTACAGTATTTATACAGAATTGTGTGTTACAGACCTATTGGAATGGCTTTCAGTGCACATACCGCGAGCTGTATATGTCACATTCATTCCTGGCGATGTGTTTGTGTAGTTTTGTTCGTATACGGTTTATAATCACCATTGCATGTAACTGTGAATTGCTCCGTGACAGTACGTTAGTCTATAACTGCGCAGTAAATAATTTTTAGAGGCTTTTTGCCCGTTCTGTTTTGACAGTGTCCTCACAATAAAAAGCCAACTTAATACACCTAAAGCCCCGCTTTTTTTTTTTTTTTTTTCCACTGCAAATCAACTGAATCTGAATGCACACACATATCAGTCTCGACGTTTTTGTTTTTTTTTGCTGGTTGAAGAGGCGTCGTAAAAGCCCGCTCGGTCGGCGCGCTGCACTATCATTCAAATGAAAAAGCATATTTTTGTTTGTTGTTTAGCAGTTTCACCCTCACATACACCATCGAAGCAAACGTGGCTCCAGGCAGAGAGGAGAGTTCTGGAAGGGGGAAAAAAAATAAAAAAAAAGGCAACTGGGCTTTGACAAGTAGGTGTTTTATCATTCTGTGCTTGCCAGTTAAAATCTGCAAAGTGTGACAATTTAGCAAAACCTTCTGACAGAAACAGGTCAGAAATGTACTGACATTTTAACATCTGCACAGAAAATATGCAAAAAAAATGTCTAATTGTATTTACACGAGGCACATCTCCTATGATTTCAGGATATGCATCCAGTTTAGTGCGAACATATTTATGATGTGATTAATAGCAGCAACCATATCGCCAAGCAGGCTTTGGGCCAGTATCGATTTGCTTTAGCGTCGGTTTGGTACAAGAAGACCGAGCAGACGAAACTGAAGAGATGGGGAGTCAAAAGGTGACAAAACGCCAACACTGGATGTCAGAAGAGATAAATCTAGAATTTCTTAAAATATAAGTTTGACAAACTGTTGACCTCAAGTTAGAAAATGCATAGCCAAGTTTACATCTATCCATCTCCACAAAGGCTGCCTTTCCTACCTTGAGACCAAATCATCTTAAGATGATAAACAATATTAAATTAACTAATCACGCTGACAGTGGCTTTATTTATTCTTGGAAGTGATTACATTTTCCCATCACCTAAGTTCAGCGCTCATGTGTGAAAGATCTACTGAAGCCTGCGAGGCTGAAACGATCTGAATGTACAATCGTGTCAGTTTAAGTGTAAAAATCCAGCAGTGAGACGTCAACAAGTGCGGTTGAGGAATGTTAATAAGTGCCACCGGT